AGACAGAAGCAAGTGGAGACGTATAGTTGAAGCCCTATGTTCCACTAGGAACCCAAAGGAACAATAATAATAATGATCTATATGCTTTGATTAACTTGTTCCTAAATGTAAAGAAAACTCAGTCCAAAACCTAAAATCTTCATTCTTAGAAGAGTAAGGGCTAAACTGAGAAGGCTGCACTGACAATACCACACAGAAAATGACTTCTCGTGTCTTGTGGATATACAGAAAATTTACCTCAAACTAAAAGAAAATAACTACAAAGTATTATTCAGACAAGAAAGTGCAACTCTTAAAGATAGATTTAAATACATGGCAATCTGTAGACTTTATCGGAAAGTACTAAACTCTGGTAAAACGGATATACCATTCACTTTAGAAAATGGTGAGACTGCTAGTGACCCTAAAATAATTTGTGAACTTCTAGACTCCTACTTCACACAGCCTTACACTTATAATTATAATGCATCGCCGCAACCTTTAGAAATTATCAACTTTTCCTTAAATAGTATAAAGGAATCAATCACTCCTCTTAAAAGTTAAAACAACCCTGGTCCTGATACGATCCCCTAACCTGATTCAGAATACGGCGGTGAAAACATATCCATAATTCTTAAGGTGTCTTGTACCTCTCTATCAACTGGGACACATCCAGATGCATGAAAAACCACGCACATTACCCCTACGTATAAGTCAGGCTTTCGTTTAAGTGTCACGAGTTACAGACTGATTAACCTAACTTCCGTTATTTCAAGGGTTCTGGAAAAGATTGTGAAAAGTACCGTTTCTGAATTCCTCTCTCAAGAGAAACTTATCACTCGTTTTCAACATGGTTTCGAGAAGTCACTTTATAGCACAGCATACCACTTACAGTTTTTCGATCACATCTCACAACTTAAAGAGTCCGGTATGATCACAGTTATTGCATACTTAGATCCTAGCCTTTAACGCTGTGAGCCACTGACTGTTTATGTCAAAAGTCCAGTCTTAAGGCATCCAAGGTTCATTGTCAAACTGGTTCAGTTCGTTTCCAGGCAATCGAATGCAAATGGGGAGGTTAGGTCCCCATACATTCAACCCCGTTAGCATATCAAGTGAAGTTATACAAGGTAGTGTCCTAAGTCCACTATTTTTCCTGTTATATTTCAATGATATTTGCGACCTTATTAAACACGACAGAACTTTTCTATTTACTGATGACATCAAAATAGTGTGTCATTCACTCAGAAATGACGTGTCATGTGTATTCGATAGAATTCAGGATGAAATCGATAACTTTAAGTTGTGGTGTAACACGTGGAAAATGAAGTTTAATTTTGAAAAATGTGGTGTACTATGCTCCAAAAGCATTTCATCCGAACTCTCCGTCTCCCTACACAACGTTCATATTCCTCGTCTACCGCTTACAACAGATATGGGTTTGAATCACATCCCAGAATTCAGTCTTAAAGAACGCGTCAATCTGCAAGTATCAAAAGACAAAAGACCCCATAGGATTTTATTCCGAAACATTAAGACGCGTGATTCCAAAATTATGCTATAAAAGTTATGCATAAGGCCCTAACTTGGATACTATCCCCTTATCATGGGTAGTGCCTCAATAAAAGACAGATGCGAATTAAAAAGTCTACAAAGGGCGTTTATTAAACGTCTAGTTGGTGAATATATTTGCATTTTTTACTGCGACAGGTGCAACATATTCGACTCTGAACTCTTATGGATCAGGCGACTGAATTTCAACCTAAACATTACATTTATGATTGCTAAAGGGCTTATATATTTCCCCCACAATGACTTTACTTTCAGTTCACCTAAGAAATATTACCTCAGAAGTAAATCTTCATCTTCTAAAGTGCTCTGCTCTCATAAAACTACAGATCAGTTTCCTTCTCTATGAAATACTGTTGTATTTGGAACCATCTTCCAAATGAAATTAGAAACAGTTCTACCACAAAAGTCTTCTTACTTCCGCTGGACAAATATTTTATCCACAATGGGTTAGAAGCGGTATGTGACAAACTAAAAGTTAGACTTATACGGAACTCTCCTGACCCTCATTGCTAGCTCACGAAACCTATGTACTCTAACTCTACTTTCACTATAACTTTTCTGGCAACGCAAGTCACCCATTCACATTCAGTTGTGTACTTATTTATCTAATCAAATATTTTTGCATATATCCTTGATAACGCTCTATTGTGAACATTTCACTGCGCTAAGAGTCCACTCTCGATTTCCAGTGGTAAATTACCTGAAATTAACTGGTATTCAAATGCCTCTGGGGTCTGCTTGATGTTGTACGTCAGTACTGTCTACCTCTACGCAAATTTCCACTCAAATGGTAATAGTTTAAACAATCGACCTAATTACAATGTTAGCCTTAAATATTAACAAATCATATTATAATGTCTATAACTATAATCATGTGTAGTCAAATTTCTCTGAACCACATATTCTAATTTCTACTGTTTCCATATATAATGCTGCACAATTATGCAGTGTTCTTCGAATTTTCATTTATTTAAATCTAAAAGGCAGACCATGACCTTTCTAATTTCTTCACAATTTTACTATTTTTCTCCAAAATGCTCTAACAGATGAGACATATATGATGGTTTTCCGAAAGTGGTCATTCACACCAAAAATTAGAGTGAGTTGATGAATGAAAATTCAGAAAAGTCTCCGTGGCACATAATAAGAAAAATTAAAAAAGAAGTATTTCGCCACAGCCTTCAACAAAAATAGGTGGGAGGTGGTGATGGACTTTTGTGTACTGACCATTCCAGCGCCGTAGCGAAAGCGTATAATAGAGGCTTGTGATCTATAAAGATGGTGAAGTGACAACTGTGTACTGAATAACTGAAGTGTGACGGGTATTTGGTGATACACCCTGACTAGGTGTTACGGAGAAACCACGTAGGTGGGGAATGGAATAGCGGCCAGGGACAGTGGCATCATTCAGGTGACGGTAATTCCCACATGGCCAACAGTCATGTTCTGCCCATGATGCCATATGCAAATATCAGGAACAAGGAATATTGGAGGGTCGGATGATGCCTAGTTATGTCGTGTTCGAATTCAGACTTCGCTGCCGCCAGTTTGTCGAGTGGTTGTCTTTGTGGACATGCTCGTACTGGTTGACTGACTGTAATGATTTTATGAGTGATGGAGCAAGGGACGTCCTCGATATTGCAAGACGGGTGAGGAATTTTCCGGAAACGCTGCGATGAGGCAGAAATACGCAGACACCAAGCTTTTCCATGCAGACGCCATAAACCGAGTAATGCGAGATGATTCTTTGAATCTGAAGCAATTATTAATCAATTCTTCTTGTTGACATTAAGCGACAGTCTGAAATTACTTAAAAACTGCCCTGAAAATATAATGACAGGCGTCAGCTGCTATGAAAATCCATGTGGGACATCGGTGTAAACCAATAACCAAAATTAGTGATTATTCGCTGCAAGTCCGTAAGCTTTTTTCACCAAGTGACAGTTTCCATGTCGTGCCAGAAGGTCATTAGGACAGTGAAGAAGGTATCACGGTAACTTCGGCTTCTGTGTCTTCCGTGAATAGTTTGTCTGTAGTTTTGCCCGTCACACAGAAAATGCGACTAGATCGACTGACAGTAACAGCCATCTCCTCCAGTGCCTTCATGTCCATTGTCTCGTGGTATACACTCAATATTGATAAGAAAGTAGGGTGGCAACCTTCGTAACCACACCTGCCATAAAACAGACTCATCCATATGGTGTGATCCCAAGAGGTGACGCAATTCCCGCACCCAGTCACTCGGTACCTAACTCACTTCGAGAGGTTAATTGCTGAATTCGAGGCTCGTCAGAAATACCCATTCTCCGCATTTACACCGCCTTTAGCTTGCCATATTGATGGTCTACAGGGACACTGTCAGTGACATCCACAACCTCCGTAATCGCTTCCACTTGCAACGTTGCTAGTGCCGACGCATACCTAGAAACCTGTGACTTGACATCTCTTGTTAGAGGTGTTCAGTTTCAATCGCCCCTGTTTCAAGAGATGACCAGACTTCTTGGGGTGCAGCAAATCTCCAACACTTCATACCATCTCGCAGCAAGTGGTCTTGTGAAAGATTACACAGGCAGCCGAAAGGCTTCCTGATAGCACAGAACGACACATCTAAGCAGGGTGAACATCTGACTCTTATCTTGCTCAGCATTCGGTCAACCATCAGAGAGGAGCTCGGATGTACACTGGCTCAGCTTGCATACTGCAACACTTTGACGTCGTCTGAACATTTAATCCCTTCTCATGATTCGGCAGAGGTGGAAATTCCTGAATTCACCATGCAGACTACCTGAGATATACTACGGCTTCAGCACTAGCGTCCAGAAAGTCTTTACAGATAGAACATGTTGGCAAGCACTAACTAACGTGCAGGTTTCAATCTTCCTGAACATCGTCTAGCTAATAGTAAGGCCAGGCAAAGAGAAAGGGTTGGGCGCGAGGTTAGTAACCATACCCCGTAAAATATAGAGAACATTACCACTACTGGAACCTTAAAGCTGAAAGCTGCCTGTTCCACTAAGAACACAAAGGAATGGGAAATTTCCACTATGTCGACAACCATTACACAATATCACTTTATCTGTCAGAACCACTTCAATTATGTCACTACCTACTACTCACTAAGATATATTTCGCAGTTACAGTAGATATGAATGCATTATTCACACCTCTAAGTTTGATTTCGCAGATGAAGGAGGTTCTCTTCACTGAATCTTGTTCTTATTCTCCTTTGTGTGCCAATGTATTCATATTAGAGATAGTTATATTTCGCTGCAACAGTCCAATTAACAAATCTAATTGAATTTTTTAATGAAACTATTGCCTTCATATGCTGATACACAAGGGTGGTACGTAGCACAATTGTGTACCATTCAAGAAGCGGTAATTAGAAACCTGCGTTACCTTCTTCTGGATGTAGAGCTTATATCATTCCTGAGTTGTTCTCTACTAATATGGCAAAGTGTTGCATTTCAGGGGAAAAGTTCGTCAATTTTGTGTTCAGTCCATGTATTGGGTTACTCGTGAGCGCTGATGTAAATGAGTTATGCCTGAAAGATAACTTGACATTTGAAGAGTTATTGAGACCATTTAGCCAATTGTCTAGAGATGGTTTGTCTAATGCTTTTATTTCTCTAAAGTCTTCAGTAACGTTTAGGGACAGCAGTAATGTTGTTCATACTGTAAGGAATTTACAGCTGAAGTTTTTTGATGCCACTTCCACTCCGGCACATAATCGTGCTACTCATTCTCTCTATCAATATTTCGTCAGTGTTTGTTCTACGGATAACACAATCCGATCTCAGAGATTTTCTAACGGAAACCGGTCGGTGATAGTTCCAAGTAAGAAATTTTTCCCATCCATTTACTAATTAGTAAGTGGATATTTCTTAAGATACAAATTAACAGGCCTTTTAACTATTTTGTTAAATTTTAATGCTGTTATCCAGATATTAGATTTCTAATCAATACTTTTATGGGTTCAAAACTTCAGAATGTCTCGGTGCTTTTCACACTAGTTACACATAAGTTTATTCATCCCATTCTCTCTGATGGTTCAGGTAATAATTCTTTTTGGGCACTTCCACTTTCTTTCCGCACGTTCTATAGACATTTTAAAGTTAGTCTTCAATGTGTGAGATGTGTATTTATATACTGCACACGAATTACTTTCAGGGTTTTTCAGCATTAGACCAATAGCGCTTTTATTTCGCAGGAGAACCCCGAAAATACTTAATTTTCTCGGTTTATTCTAATGTTTTTACATTTTGGCACAATGCACTATGCTGTTCAAACGTTTATTGGCGAAGTTAAACCTCAAGCACCAGTAAGTCCCAACCAACAGCTAAAATAGCCTGTATCCGTTAGAACAATAAGATATTCCTGTTGGTGAAGCTAGAGTGCTTTCTGACATGGGATTTCGGAATGTTAGAATAAATAACTTCAGTTTGACTATCCAGAATAGACTTCCATGTACCAAGCTAGAAGCCGCACTTATCGTGTGAAGGTTGATAATACTGCCCAGTTTCACTTGCTGAAGTGGAGCGGGACTTGAACTCTTGACGCATTGGCTGAAAGCCGAGTGCTTAAGCCAGTGAGCTGGATCTCCACTAGAAATGAATTACCTCAATCCCTTTTTCACTATACCTCTTGTAAACAACCTGGTTCTTTTCCATATAAATGCCACTTAATTGGCTTTCTTGAGGTTTCGGAAGTTTGTTTTCACCATAGATTGACCAACCAATGGTCAGGTCTCACATATCTTCTAGGGTGCACCTTGACTTCCAAACTTAATGCTCCAATTTGAAGCTGTGCTACGATTTTTATGGGTTTTAACCTAACAGTTCCACAGACATTGGAATCCAACAGTACATACACATTAATTTCAAGTGTGTGATTTGGTTTTAAAACCACACCACTTAATCACAATTGATTGATAGCGTTTTCGGTAGTTAAGGTGAAATTTATACCTTATCAGTAATTGGTCCTCAAACCGTAGTAGGTAAATCATCAGATTAGTAACTCAAAGGCTTCTGTTCTGAATTCCTCAGGGATCCAAGTATATATCCTGACCTCACTCACTACTACAGTAGGTATCAGTTTCCCAATGTCATGCTCTATGCTTTCTTTCTCTTATTGTCTGATAAACCCGACTTCCAAATTTTTCTGGCTTTTCTTTTCTTTAAATTAAAAATATACTTTCAGCATCTCTCCCATGGTTTGAAGCATGGAGGTACCTGTTCATTACAAATCTACGGTCACCATACGAACATGAGTTCCTCAACCACAATCTGGCGTGTATATTTGTTATAACAACTGGACATCCGGATCCAATTCGTGGTTTCACTGAATTGACTCAAAATCAATCCATTCAACAACATCATTCAGGAAGTGGTTTTCCATTCTGGTTTACAGAAAATGTACTAAAATTTTATGTCTTGTTACACGATGGTTCATCAAATATTGGTCAAAGTTGGTGAGTCATCTTATTTATTAAGTGGTTGTTTTGTTTGTACATAGTATCCGACTGTTGGTTGGAACTTACATCCCTAGTCCCTAGTCACTCAGCATGAAATACTTCCTGCCCTGTTTGTGATGAAGTCAACGATATAACCAGCCAAGATACAAAGTAAAATGGGCTTTGTTAGTTACATCTTCAAATTAAAAGAGAAAAAAGGTAGAGGGAGCAGTAGTTTAGCAAAGACGTTTTGTCACAGGAATAATTCAAATTGTCTGGCTAAATTAAGCCACACAAACTTCAGTCTCTATGTCAGCGTAAGTTTCTTTGTCGATATAAGAACGTTCCGTAACTATCTGCAAACAGGAAAAATCTTTTAAAGGTTGTTTCTTTCTCTATTCGTCTCAAGCATATGAATATATGGAACATTTCTAGCGTAGCATCTGCTGATCACCTAAACTTACTCATGTGCCTGCGAATATTAGGGATCTTATCTGTGTCGGCGTAGCATGTGCTGGTGAGTTCTATCCAATTAAGTTAAACGGAATTGGCATTGGGTTAGCATATTCACACCTTGTTCTACTCTTATAAAAGTGATATTCAGTAACTTTTAAATCGTATAGACTTTACATTGAAAGGTACTGCTGGTAGTGTGAACTTGTTGTCAAACATGGGAATAATTAGTAGTAAGATTAATTGTAGAGTACTAGATAGAGATGTCGAGATTTTACATCCTTACCGACTGATTTACCTGGGATACGTGTTACACATTCCAAGCCACCACCTTAGTTTATAATAGCTGGATTTGAATTACATGAAAAAGTTAACACCGGTGATATCAAATTATAGCATCATTTCATCACCTCTGGTTGTTAGTATGAGTTGTGTAAGGAAGTGTAAGCTATTTTGTCTGTTGTTCTCAGAACGTCAAAAATCATCGACATTATGGAAATCAATGTCCCTTCTATCACTACTCTCCTCCGTTTCTGTTCAATTTCTTCTTTTAATGGTATTATAAATCGTGGTAACTTCTAATGATGCATTTCTGTCGAACATTTAACTTCCTGTTTATCCGTAAAAATGAAATCACTATATGAATTGAAGCAACCATATATAGAATTGTTTCTTAACATACTTATACTACCAATGCAAAATATGGTTCTTTGTACTGAAAACTATATAAAACCGAAACACTGATCACTATCGGACTTATTCCCATTTTTAAGGTGCGTTATAGGATTCATTTTTTCTCCCATTTTATATAAAATGTGCTCAACAGGTGTTTATAGTATGGTAGGGAGATAGTGTGTTTGCTTAGTGACCGTTCGCTAATGGGCTGCGATATGGTATAGGTCCTTATCCATTCTGGCATAGTGTGATAAGGAGTATCACAAACCTTTGGATTTCAAATACGGTTCACAGTCTAATACATAAATTTGTATTGAGTCGCGTTGTGTTTTCACTGATTTATTTTCTAGGGTGTAAGCCACATCTGTATGTAGAGAGTTCAAACTATCAATTAGGTAATCAGTGGGCGGTAACATACATATATATATGTACTATTGACGAGTCAAAAGTAAAATGTTGAGAATGAGAATAAAAAGACAGTTGCAGCGAAGATTTTCTTTCCGACGAAGTCATCATCTAGGCTGTACATTCGTGTATATATATCAAATGGATGGGAAAGTTCCAGAACAATTTCTGGTTAGGAGTTGAATTAATAAAAATTACAATTAGGAATTAGAATGCCATAATAAACAGGGGGATGGGTAAAACTCAAACAAAGTAGCATAATAACTAAGAAAATTGACATTGTGCAATTGGGGGTTAGAGATGTAAAAATAACAAAATATACAGGATGTTTGGATAAGAAACTAGTGTGATGAATAATTGTTTATGCAATCAGGGATTAAATATGTAGAAATAATAAAATGACAAAAATGGAAAACGCGCTCGTGAACACTACCCAGCCTGGCTGGTAAAAGGAGAGCAAAAACGTGTAAACAGTTCAGTGACAGAACATCTAGTCAACTCAGGACATTCAGTGCCTTTCGAAAAGTCCTTCAAAGTAATATACAAGATTCAATCAAACCTATCAAAGGGAGTGAAATCAAGACATTTGGGCATAGCTGAGGCGTTAGCTATCCAAAAACTCAAACCCACCCTTTGTGTCCAAAAGAAATACATTCAACCCCTGTCCCTGCCATGGCCATCGTAAACAGGTAAATTTTTTAATAATGACCATCCCATCGCCTTTCTTATCTAAACTTCCTGTTTATTCATGTTATTTTAAGTTTTCTTAATCCCTGTCTACACTACCATATTTTCATATACACACTTCCTGTTTATTTTGTCATTTTATTATTTCTACATATTTAATCCCTGATTGCATAAACAATTATTCATCACACTAGTTTCTTATCCAAACATCCTGTATATTTTGTTATTTTTACATCTCTAACCCCCAATTGCACAATGTCAATTTTCTTAGTTATTATGCTACTTTGTTTGAGTTTTACCCATCCCCCTGTTTATTATGGCATTCTAATTCCTAATTGTAATTTTTATTAATTCAACTCCTAACCAGAAATTGTTCTGGAACTTTCCCATCCATTTGATATATATACACGAATGTACAGCCTAGATGATGACTTCGTCGGAAAGAAAATCTTCGCTGCAACTGTCTTTTTATTCCCTATGATCAAATGTGTATATTCCGAGAATGAGAATACTTGTTATAGGAATTATGTCGTTTTACTTGCAGCTGACGATCTATTATCAGGTGGCTTTAAATCTTATCAAGTAATCATGTAGAGTCAAGTTTCTGGGATTTCTTATTCGTGCTATTATTTACGCGTGTCTAATCAGTCATCAGTATGTTTTTGACCTTCAATTATTACGTAGTACTGTTTCACACATTACATACACAACGGTGGCATGCATCGGTGGCACAGCGGTTAGGACGCTCGTTGACCATGCACATGCTCCGGTGATCAATCCCCCGGCCGACGCACACCCGATATCAATGGTCGGCCTGCTAAATTTGGGTTACCGATATCACATGCTGGAAATTCCATATTTGTATCGAAAATACTGTGTGGAGTCAAGCTATCATAAAAATTCTAAAAATCTGGTCTTTTGATTTTAAAACTGCCTAAGGTTCTTTGAAAATAGGTGCTGTTTAAAGGTGTGTTACAGAAAGTGTCCGAAAAGTTTGTTAACATCCTGGAAACCCTGTGTAGAAACATTTCAAGTGGAGTAGGGGCGTACTAACTATGACTCTTGTTCTCAAACAACAGCGGGTGTAGGCAGAGTTACTCACTCTCACGTTTGTCTATAACTTTGTTAACGATGACATTCTGGACACAGTTGTGAAAGATGTTTGTGGTGATATAGACTTGCTGCCTGGGAAAACTTTTTGGCATCGAATAGGCAGACGATATCATCTGTGTGATAAAAAAAAACAGGCTGTCCAAGTCGCACTTTATCAGTTGGCGATTGTCGTCTGTATGTTACGGGCTTCTCTCCGTCTAAATGGAAAGTAATGTTGCAAGGTTGTTAGGAGCCCGTGCCTGCATTCACCGTAGCAGGTGAACTGTTAGAAATCGTTCAAACATCTAGGTAGTTGTGTTTGTCGGCTGGGGTGTGACCGATGAGATCTCTGTTCCTATAGTGAAAGCCGAGGTGACATACATCAACTTGAACTACGTCTAGCTCAGTCACGATGTTAGCCTTTTCGTCACAGTCTGGGTTTACAGTACTTCTGTGCGCTCATCCTTCAAGGCTGGCCTCCACGAATTAAGGATATGCAGTGACTCTGTATGTTCAAGCATTGCTGCCTTCGTAGAACTAGCTGCATTGGGTGGCACCATCATGTAAGTAATTCTGAGGTCTGATAGCGTGTGTTTGGCCACTGTATATATCGTCTTTCAGTAAATGTTTCGACTTCTGGAAAGCGGCTTATGTGGCTTGGACATATACTACAAATGTCATCCTAGCGGCTCGTATACTGTTTGCTAGCCCTGGAACTGGATAGATAGGGTCTGAAAAATAATTCCAATCAGTGGCTTCGGACGTTATCGTATATGGTTTCGAATTATAATCCATGGCGACCATCCTGCAGTTTCATCCCTTTCTGGAAATAAAATGAACTAATGAGCCATCCTTTGAATATTGTTGTTAGGTGTTATTACTTGTTTTTTGACCGTCTCCCCCGTTTATTCTAATTCTAAGATTAGTAGACGAATATAAAATGTTACATAACATGGTATGAAATTTGATAAGACAGAATTCAATATTGTAAAAAATATAAAAATATGAAAATTAATAATTTTAGGTTTAAAATGTCAAGTAGGTCAAGTGAACAAGATTCAGAGTGAGAATAGTAATCATAATAATGATAATAATATTAATAATAATAATAATAGTAATAAGTGAAGAGTACATAGAATAACTAAATAAACAAAATAAATAAATGTCTATCCCTCTACGGCCAAGGCAGAAGTAGGGATTGTACATACTTCTTTTGTACACAAAGGTCTGGCTTAAAGTCATGAATTGCCAAGGCCTCAGCTGTCTTTAGAAGTCTGTAACGAATAAAACGCGGGAAGTTAGCATGGATTCTATATATGATCTTAAAATCATGGTCAGGGTTAACAGAGTGACAGAAGTCGATCAGGTGTTCCAAAATAGAGCTTCTCACACACTTCCTTTCTCCCTTATAAAACCAAGCTGGAATATGTTCTCGTATCCGTGTGGAAAGCGTCCTCTGACTACGGCCAATGTACCTTGCTCCACAGGAGCAGGTGAACTGATAGATGCACATGGAGGCGGCCAGACGGGGTAGCTTATCTTTTATAGAGGTAGAGAACAACTTGCGGCTAGTGAACGTCATATGTAATTTTGCTGCATAGAACGTCTTACGGACTGATTTGGAGAGACGATTTTTGAGCATATCTGAATCTTGATCACCTTTGAATTCCAAGTTCATGAATAAGGTTTTCTTTGGAACTGTGTCGGTAACCAATTTAGACTGCTTTTCTTTCATGTTGCTGTCAATAAATCGGCTAGGGTAACCGTTTTCTGCGAGCGTGGCTTTTAAGAAATCAAGTTCCGAGTCAACGGAATCAGGACTACAAATTTTCCTTATCCTATAGCAAAGCGAATGAATTAAATTCCTTTTCCTGGAGATAGGCACCCAACTGTAAAAATTAGTTAGTTGTCCGTTCCATGTACGTTTCCGGTGGATAGATCTTTTGAGAGATCCGTCATCACGTCTGTTTTCCTTGCATTGTCGTATTATTTTTTTGTATGGCGGTTGGTTAGAAGCAATATTTCACCAAGTCGGCTCTTAAACAAAAAAATAATACCACTAAGCGACGTTAATAAAAATCCACCAGTTGAAGTCTTACTATTCAGTAATGTAGAACATTATCGGGGATATATTGATAAGAGTTAAGTTGTGGACGTCACATGAAAACAGTATGCTAAGGCTAATAAATCAGATTAGCCTTTTCTTATTTGTATACATTTCTGACAACTATCGCCTGATTTATCGATTCTTCTGAACTACTCATTTGGCAAAATTCATTAGTAATGCAGATTTCAAACGGTTAATTATTAGAGGCGATGGGAAATCTGAACTGACTCGTAATGACGTCGTAACCACACACATTGAATGTTTTGCTGATTAAGGTACATGAACTCTCCCCAGTTAACAGAAGTTCACATCTTCGTCGTCTTATACATGAAGATCAATTTACCAAATGAATCCACTTTATTTTTCCATCTTTTTTTTTTTCAAACTTACAGTGTTGATGGAATATTCAATCAGGTGAAAACAACTTTTGGTGCAGGAAATTGTCATCTGTTGACAATTTTTACACCATTAGAAAACACTAAAATACCATCATCAACAACATTATCGAGTAGTAATAGTAATACAAATCTATCAAATAATTTATGCAGTAGTCAAATCAATGGACTGACAAGTCAAGTGAGTCACACACTACAGCCAGGTAATGAACCACAATCTGATCCGTGGTTAAATCATCTGCTACCGCATGGTTATAGACCACAGTTGGATCAAAAACTCTGGTTAGCTAATAATGATCATGAAGGAGGTATGATGACGATGACAACAATTAACCCGTCTCCTCCAACATGTCAATTAGTGAATAGTAATATCAGTTTAAACAGTGATCCATTAAATACTGCTCAAAGTGAAGTAGAAGAAAGTCAAACACTGGGTAAGCAATTCTGTCTACAAAACTGATTGATGGAATGAATATAAATTAATAGTTAAAATGATTATAATAATAGTGTATTAGTTCAACCTGATGTGTTAACAGGATTCCTTCAAACTTAATAAGAGTTGGCGTGCATTTTCACAGCGAGAATCAGACTCCGGTCAACGCATACAATATTTTTCTATCTATTTATTAATCGCTGAAAATATCTTTGATGCATTTCAAAACTGTAGTAATATTTTACACGAGACTTACTCTCAGCTCATAGAGTGAATCAACCACTGGTGAAAATCTAAACAAGCTGAGATAGAAAGGAGGTTGAATGTGCTCATTCGACACTTACCGATAATGACTAAACAAAGTAGGTATGTATTCGTAAACCTGCTTGCAGTGTATCTCCTGGAGAGCAAATCGGCAGGTCGACATAGGTTTTTAACTACGTCATTCAGCAGTGTGTTAGGTTTTCAAAATATCTTGTGGTTTGTCTATTAAGCTGCTACTCTGGTCAAAGTCCTATCACTGTTGTTTTTCGAACTGAATTATCCGAAACACCGACTTTATGCGCAACACTTAGCATGTTAGAGGTGATGTGATACCAAATCGCCCAGACTGAAGTAAGTGGGGCAGAACTTTGGTTCACTACCTGTTGGCTATAAACCGATACCTCACTCCGGTGAATTTCTCCTTCATGCGTCAGGATTGATAAAACAATCAGAATTCTATTCGGTGATTGAGCACTTCGGTCCAATCAATCGACGGGGAAATCTAAAATTGAATTAAAAAAAAGATTTTTTGTTTGCAGGAAAATGACGTCTGTAAAAATCTGTAATGATTGGTTCCATATTGATTTGTTTATTAGATATATATCACGCTGTGAAATAGTATTATTTACTAGAGGATATTTTGAAAACAACTCATTGTTCATCAAAAAATATTTTGCTCCTTTGCGTTCCCACTGGAACATAGGGCTTCAAGCTAGAGCTTTGAAGTTTCGGTAGCGGTGATTTAAATTTTTTTCGGGGTGTCTGCTTGCCTCATATCCAACCTCCCCTCTTTGCTGACCCTACTACCGGCTTAGCAAGGTTTAGGAGTGCGTCGGCCGGGAATCGAACCCCTGACCTGGACCATGTGCGTGGTTGGTGAGCGTTCTACCGCAGAACCCCTGACGCGCTTATTGTTCATAATCATATCAACTATAACTACACAATTTAGAAACTTCCGTCTTATAGTTTTATGTATTCTCTTCTATTCGTCATAGGGGTAGTAGAACAATAGAACAAGAAATTGTTTTCGAAACGGTCATCCAGTAAATAATACTGTTTCACTGTGTGATATATCTACTAAACACATTAATATGGAATCACATACTACTACTACTACTACAGTGCCCAAGTTTCACACATAAAACGATTGGTTTTAAATATTGAAGTGATTTGAATCAGGCAATGTACATCTTTGTTAACTATTCACACAAATATCTTGGTCTGATTACTCTTATCTCTCTTGTAATTTTGTCCTAACTCGGCTCACAATGTCGTGATGGCGAAAAGACTCTAGTTCTAAAAGTCTGACGCATCATGAAGCCATTTCAGTTGATACATTTTGCGCAACATCATTATGTATATATAAAGTGTAATCCCATATCGTCCAACTTTAACTTTGGGAAGTTATATCCATAGAGTGGGACAGCATAAACTATTTTACGGTATTTGTCCACTGCTAAGTACTGAGGTGGCTGGCTGGTGATTCAGGTGGATAAACTTTTATTATTTTCTTCTTCCCAAATGTTTCACTACTATTATTGTACAACCGGGTTCTCCCAAAGGGAGTTAAGATCCCGGGTGTCTAGAAAGAAACTATATCTCTTGAATTATTGTTACTACAGTGGTTAGGACTCTCGCCGACCATGCACATGGTCCGGGGTTCGATCCCCTGCCGACGCACACCTGATATCTATGGTCGGCCTGCAAAATTTGGGCTACTGATATCACATGCTGAAAATTCTATACCTGTACCAAAAAATATGGTGTGAAATCAAGCAGTAATAAAAAAATACTATAGTGTTTCGCATTGTGCAACCTTTTTTTACTGTGCTCCATATTTAAAAGAAATCATTTATCTTTATTCAGGACAAAATAAAATTTCACCATACGGTACAACTTATTTATCATCTGAAAATGTCGCCTTCCAATTGTACACATTCCTGCCTCCACGGTATTATCAACCACATGGTCAACACTTAACACAAGCTGATCGAGATCGTATACGTATGTTTGTTTATGACTTTAGTGTTCGAGCCCTTTTACCCTGGGTAGAGAAAACAATGCGTAATCTTAACGACCAGGTTAGTTTCCTTTTCCATTTTATGGTTTATTATTAAAACTTGATTTCTCGATAAACTGAGTGGAGATTGTTTAACAGAATCATGAGATTTCTTCATGAATAAATCAGGTACATTGGAAGAACAGAAAGAAGAGCATATCTCCGATTTTCTGAACATGTACTGAAAAGCCTCTGTCTAAAGGGAACAAATGCTTTAAACAGTGCCATCGCCAGACATCTCTTCGACACGGGTTATGAGGTAGACATTGCAAGATCGTTCGAAATTATCAATAGGCAAAAGAGTTAAGTGCTCATCAACTTTGACAAAGCAATCTCCATGAAGCGCCTGACACCCGATTTATGCGTTCAGAAAGAAGTGGTTATCAGTCTTTCTTTGCCCTGCTGTCTGTTAACTGGATGTTTTCATCCTTCCTTCCATCTGAATACGTAATATCGAAATTTTTCATAGTTTATGATCATTATTGTTTGGGATAAAGTGACCATTATTATTAGTATTGTATGCATATATTGATTTTTTTTGGTTTAAAAATGAACTCTGAATATGTTAAAATTGTTTCTGTACATAAACTTAGTAATGTCTTTGGGCTGTAAGCAGCTGTACTGACGAGAAGCCCACGAAACTAATGATGGTATCACCTGGCCAAGTTAAACTTTAAGCAACAGTAAATACCGGTGGTGTGACCGCACCAATGACCTTGAAACTCAGTAAGCGGGTTAGAGATATCTGGTAAATAATATTGTAATCATGAATAAAATATACTTAATGAAGTGTTATGTTATTAGATGGGATATCTGGCAAGTTTCAGGTTAGGTTTGGAGAAGATAAAGTTAAGGTTTAAGCTAAGGACAGATTAGGTTTAGGTTAACCTAATAAGGGTGACATTAGGGTTGGTTTCGGGATATTTTCACGTTGAGGTTAGGTTAAGGGAAAATTAGGGTTGTTGTTGGTATTGGGAGACTGGATAATTACATGCACAGAGTGTGGTTAAATTACTTTGTTGATACTCCAACCCAAAAGTGAGAGGTATTTTTGTCACACGCTAGACAAAGCTATCTTGTCTTTGTAACAGTTTCATGCCTTTTAATTCATTATTTTCGTAAAAATTTGTATTTCATACTCACAAATCGCCTTTATCATGTGGTCGGTACGTTGAAGGTCATTTGTCCGTTGGTACTCACTGGTGCTTAAAGTTTAACTTTGCTTATCATTTTATTATTCTGCACAAACTGCTGTTGTTCTTGCTTTGTTCAAATTCATTAAGGAGAGTAAATGTTTGAAATCAGTATGTATTTAATTTGACTATCTTGTGTTTTTACTTTCTATTTTCGCCATGTGTTGATACAAGTTCAAATCTTGCGTGAAATATTATTTTCCTCGTGTTTGAATGAAGGTATGCTTTGTTAGTGTGAAGTTTCACCGGCTGACTCCGACTAGTATTACGATGCGTAGAATTACCACGTTCCTTAGCTTCGGTGGATAACACTAGACACATAATCGACAGATTTTTTTATCAGTAGTACACTTTCTAATAGACATCTATACTAGAGTTATCTTTCATCAGACGATTTACATGATCCTTACTCTATCCAGTTTCTTTTTCTTCATTGAGACTGCTTATTAATAAAGGTAATGTTGTTGTTAGGTTGTGAACTTTATCGGCATTGGGATTGTTTGTGGCAAAGCTTTAGTGGTACTGTAGTTGTATCGTTTTCACTCAGCACCCGAAGCTGAGCTATGTGAATCTTCTCAGTCTTGTCGTAAACAACACTTTGACTGAGTTCAACCAATAGCTTTTGTTGAATATATTAATCGGATGACGAAAAAAATCCTGGGACACCTGATAACCATTAGCTTAATGTCGTTTTGTCTATGTTGGGGTATTCCTCTACAACTTTCTTACTGATCTCGGTCTGTCTGTCTCACTTTCCAGTTAGTTGGGACACAACGATTAAATGTGAGAGTGCACATGAAGATTATTATTATTATTTGTTCCTAAATATCGTCGTAGCTTTGCTTGGATATGATGAAATTGCAAAGCGTAAAGCGTTAAAATAAGATGTGAATTTGATAAGTAAGAAAGATAAATAAGTCACTGACTGACTAACTAACTGCACCAGCCAACTCGCTAGCTGAACAGACCGTATCAGAAACAACAGGTGTTCTTGATTGGTACATACGTCTGACTTCGTGTAAACTTGCACTGACATCAGTTTAGAAAAGATATTCGTGCTTACATGTAAACTGTTTACTGACAAAGACATTTTTAAGTAAGATTTTAAATTTGATAATTCCTCGTTGCTTTTTCCCTTTTCTTATTTACAGATTGCACATCGAATGCGTCTTTCACGTTCATTTTTCAGTGCCACAAAAAAGTTCTTCACTCAAGCAGTTGGTGGCGGTGGGGGTGGTGGTGCAGGTGGCACCAGTAGCACTGTGATTAATAATACGCCTATTGCTACGAATACTTCTTCGTTGACAACCTCAAAAATCTATTCTAATCCATCGCCAACTGATATGTCGATCAGTTATACAAGTCATCCTACAGACATATCTAATCCAATAACTGTCAATGGTCCTAAGCTAGAGTTATCGTCACCAGGAACAACACCATTGCCTTCCCAGGCAACAGCAGCAGTCAGTAGTAGTTCAACAGTTGTTTACAGTCCAGATTCTCCAGAAGCACAAATGCGTCGTTTAGCTGATTTAGCCTTTTTATTTCAACAATATGAAGTTGCCTATCAAACGTATAATGTATTAAAACGTGACTTTCAAAATGATTCCGCTTGGTTGCACTATGCTGGTGCTCAGGTAAGATAAGTATTGCCTCTTCTTTTCTCGCTCACATCAAAGTAACTGGTTTGTGACTACGTATTTACACTATTACGTCTTCGATTAGATTTAGCAGGTTTCCGTTAGTTTGCTTAGAACACCTACGAGTCGAACTGCGGATATATATATGTGGTGAGAGCTGTCTACTAGCCAAATTGGTAGACAGTAATTTACGTCAATATTTACGTTCCCAAGATTTGTCGTGAGAAAATGTGAACAAAGATTGATTCAAAACCGATCACAGCAGACTTTGCGTAGGCAGATGCAATTAACATATAGAGGATTTGCTATTCAAGAAACAGTCACAAATAGATGAAAGATTAACTTTACGTGAGAAACAACTAATCGGAAGACTCTGTTTGTTTGCTTAAATAACCATAGTAATGTACATGAAAAGATATAAATATGCGTTGATTTCCTTAATAAATGATCTGTTGCCTGACTCTTGCCTTCTGTCGTTACATATATATGTATGTATATATATATATATCATATTAAAAGTGAGAGTAAGACAAGGCTGCCTATTATCACCGATGATATTCTTAATTATGGTGGACTGGATTATGCGTCAAACTGTGGGGAATGAGAATACAGGAATACGCTGAACCGATAAGAAGACTCTAGAAGATCTGGATCTCGCGGATTATTTATGTTTAGTGTCACACAAACTCGAAGACTTGCAGACGAAAACCAATAAACTGGTAGAAGAGGCCATCGATGAAGACAAGACTCCAAGTGGACGTAGAGAAGACGGTGGTGATGAAGATAACCAACCAATAGCAACAGCGACAACAACCAGTACCAATCACCATCAACGGAGGAAACTTGAAATCGGTCTCTCATTTGCTTCACTTATCAAGGAAGCATTGTTTCAACCGCAGGCGGGACGGATAAAGATGTCAAAGCTAGCGAGAATCGGGAAGGCAAGACAGCAGGACACCTTCATCAATGTGAAATCGGTTTGGACATCTGCAATCCACAGCATTTGGTACAAGGTTTGGATTTTCAACACAAATGTTAAACTGGTTATTTTGTCTATGTGGGTCAGAAACTCTCACTGCGTTTCACGAAAAGCATTTCCAACAGGCGACTTCAGACTTTTATCAGCAGCTGCCTTCGCTGGCTGGCTCCATGCTGAAGATCAAATAGGCGGCCAGAAAGAATTTGCAACAAGAAACTGTGGGAACAAACTAAGCAAGAACCTATGGTTTAACAAATATGCAGGAGGAAATGGAGATTGGTTGGTTATGCGCTGAGGAGGCCACCGAATGACGTCGCACGCTAGGCCATCGCTCGACTGGAAACTGAATGGGAAACGACGAGTGGGTCGTCAGAGGTTGACATGGAGGAGATAAGAGATTTTGGGCAATCGTTGGACCCAGGTGAAGAGGACTGCAGAAAATAGAATAAAGTTGTGATGTGTTGTTGAAGTCCTATGTTCCACTTGGAACCCAAGGGGATAATAATAATAATGAAAGTAATGATTTCCATTAGAACTATTGAGCGAAAACTATGCGTTCTGAAGAAGTTCGTACGGTCATTATCTCTCTCTTGGTCAGTTAGGACCTAACCAACGAACGATATCACCACCACTCCATATGTATATTTATGATCCCTTTCTTATCGACCTTTAATCTTATTGTACCTTCATTAAGACGTAGTTTATTTACTTCCCTTACAATCTAGCATTACTTAATCGAACTACTTGTTTTCCTTATCCTATGTCTACTACGTGTGTTTGAACATTTGTGTGTCTAATAATCCCGTTTTTGGATTTCATCATGAGCTGACATCGGTTAGAGAACCATTAGAAAACCCGGGTGCGCACTGATGAGGAGTCCTAAACTAGGACGAAACAGCTGTCTAGTACTCCCAAGTTTTCCAGTAGTTCTCTAACTGATGTCAGCTCATGATGAAATCCTGAAACCAATCAAATCCCTGCAAACCAACACTTGAATGCCGTTTTTCATAATTTTTGTTATCACAAATCGCTCCACTTTTCCACAGAATTATTATCATAACCTATTGCTTAGTCTTATTAGTTAACCTTGTAAACGAAATTCAAACTTTGATCGTCTTGATGAGTGAGTACCTCTGAATATCCTTCATTAAATGCGGTAACATCTTAATGTTAAGTCACTTATTTAATTATGACTCTACACTGTGATACATAATTCATCGGAAGAAGAGTTCCATTCAACACAAAAATTTTCTACTTCATAAATGTAAAATTTATTGACAAAATACTAGTCAAATGTTGTAATGCTTGAACACTAATTTTGTTTTACTTCTAATCTTTCAGGAAATGTCAGCCTTGTCTATTTATCTACAAGGCAGCACAAGCCAACGTCAATATCCATTTCATTTGATGGATTCAGCGGTTACCACTTATCTTCAATCTCATTTGTGAGTTAGTTAGTTGGTTACGCATCATTTTTTTGGGGTACATACATAAATTTTCACTATATATACTAACAGAATGTGAATTTGAATAAAGCAAGAACAACAGTTTTGCAGAATAAAATGGTACCATCATTTATTTCGTTGGTTTCTCATCAGCTGCTTACAGGAGAGTCATTATCAAGGATATCTACAGAAACAGTTTTAACATACTTACACAGAGTTCATTTTAAACAGAAATCAGTCAATAAATATATGCATACAGTAATAATACATATAATAATATTAAACAGTATTCCGAACAATAATGATCATACACAATGGAAACTTTCGATATTACGTAATCGGATGGAAGGAAGGATGAAAACATCCAGTTACCAGACAGCAGGGCAAAGAAAGACTGATAACTACTTCTTTCTAAAAGCATAAATCCGGTTTCAGGCGCTTGATCACAGTGGAGAAAAAGACCATCTACATTCAACTTGATAATAAGAGTGAAGATATTACAGCAATTGTCAACAGAAGATTGAGGACATCACTAGGCAGAGTCTATCCTGCAGCTAAGCTCGTTCCCGTCTATCGAATAACTTGCTCTTTGGTGCAATCAAAAATCGATAGATATCCTTCTCATGTTAACTCCAGCTGTATCTACAAATTTACATGTATCTGCGGAGACAGTTACATTGGAAGAACGAAAAGAAGGACATATCTCCGATTTTCTGAACATGTACTGAAAAGCCTCTGTCTAAAGGGAACAAATGCTTTAAACAGTGCCATCGCCAGACATCTCTTTGACACGGGTTATGAGGTGGGTATTTCAAGATTGTCCAAAATTATAAATAGGCAAAAGAGTTCAGTGCTCATCAACTGTGCCGAAGCAATTTCCATGAAGCGCCTGAAACCGGATTTATGCATATACTTATTGATTGATTTCTGTTTAAAATGAACTCTGTGTAAGTATGTTAAAATTGTTTCTGTAGATATCCTTGATAATGACTTTTGCCTGTAAGCAGTTGAGGAGGAGCCAACGAAATAAATGATGGTATCATTTTATTCTGCACAAACTAATGTTATTCTTGCTTTATCCAAATTCATTAAGGGGAATAAATGTGTGAATCTAACAGAATGGCTCCGGTCTTTAGCTTAAGCATAGTAAACTAAGTCTATTGCATACTTTTTTGATCCATATCTTTAGAAATCAAAAAATGCGAAGATTCGTTGAAGAGAAACACATTTTGTTAAGGGTTCTGTGTAGTACAGCTGTACAATCGCTTCTACATACAGTTTTATTTCGTAAATACAATCGATAATTTTCCCTCTATGATGTAAACTAAATTAATGTCAGTAGTATATGCTTTCCCTGCGTGCTTGTTGGGGTGGATGAGTTCTACCATGAAGGGAACAGATGTATCCCGTGAGACCATTCAACCCCTGGAATGAAAACTTATGGTTTACAAGTTTTAAATTCCTCCAGTGTGCAATATATAGCACCATCGCTATTCACTAGTGTAGCTGACGAATATTAAGTGATTTGAATACATGTAGCTTAAAAAACTCTAGACATCTCACTCTCTAAAACCTGTGTGAGAGCTGTCCAATTAAACTCAACGCTACATTTGAGAGGGAATCACAGTGGGTTAAATAAAGCATTATTCCTTGAGTATGGTCGTACTACTCACTAGTAGTATATATTTTCTGCGACAAGTCTTCAGTTATTCTCCCGTTCTTGTCAGCATAGTGTGTTGTCAATTTCTATCGCTATAACATATTGATTGCTGACAAAAATGTGAATATTCAGTTAGTCTTCTACTTTCCACAGACTTGTGAAAGCTAAAATTGCCTTCATAATGCTAAAACGGCTTCATAAAACTGCATTTCTCATTCACCTTTGTTATGCATTCACATAATATCTTGCATTCTTTAAAATTAAATTTCAAACTTTCCTTTAGAAGAAAATAAGGTAGATTCTTGTTTCATTTGGGCAACTGAACAAAACGATTTCGTAAATATCAATATCCGACGGAAGTCTTTTGTTTGTACTTTCTGGTGTTCCCTCGCACGTTTTGATCGTCACCCTGCATTAGTTGTTGTGAACTATCCTGTGTGTTTTAGGATTTAGGTTTTACTGGTTTAAAGGTAGATTTCGTTACCCACCGAAAATAATCAGATGATCAATGAGGACAGGAAAGCACTGAACAATTGACGATGAGATATTTGATGAATTGGTAGGAGTTAAATAAGAAATCAACTAGATTGAGGGATGAAGACAGACACGTCTAGCCGGAAATCCGTGATATAAGTGTTTTAGTGTTGATTAGGCGAACGATGAACTCCGCCATGTCTTCATTAAAGAAGTGAATTGAAAACCTATTTTGATTCTGCAATTTTATCCACTTTAATTCTACTCTCCTAAAAATCTTTATATTTATTTATTTATCATGTGTGTGCCACTAACTGCTTTTTTACGTAACACACCTAGAAATGGTGTCTTTTTTTTGGAAAATTCTTTGTTCTTCCGTATAAATCAACAGTTATATTTTATTATATGACAATGTAGGTAGTGTGAGTAGTGTGCTCGGGATTAAAACCAGTGACTTGTCTTTTTATCCTCTTACAAAATCTGTCTGTTAACAAGATATCACTTTCGAGTCATCTGTCTAAGGTTTCGCACGTAAATAAACACTGCGTAACTGTCCACCCATTGAAATTGTACTCCCTGTCAAACCAATTCTTTTATAATGGGATAAATCAAGAAAGTTTCAAAAATACTTTCAATGTATTGATTATTCAGTGAACCTTTTTTGTGGTACATATAACTTTTAATGGTTTAATGTATGTGTACACTAATATCTTTCTGATTTTAGATATCCAGAGCTCGCTTTGCGGTCGACATTGTTGAATTTTGAAGCATTGTGTAGTCGAGGTTTATACAATGAAGCTGCAATGGCACTGATTAGACTGACATCAGATGTAAGTCATCCATATACACCTCTATGTCTTAAAAATATCTATTTTCATCGGTCCTTGATTTAAGAGAAAATGTGTTAGTACAAGTCTACTCTGTATGACATAATAAATGCGTGAATTCCTGTTTCAGTAGAGTCGGTGGCACAGTGGTTAGGACTCTCGCCGACCATGCACATGGTCCGGGGTTCGATCCCCTGCCCACGCACACCCGATATCTATGGTCGGCCTGTAAAATTTGGGCTACCGATATCCATGCTGAAAATTCCATACTTGTACTGAAAATACAGTGTGGCATCAAGCTGTAATCAACATAAAGAAAATAAATAGCACTACACACTTGAGCTTTTGAAATTTCAGTAGTGTAATGGTGTATGTTTGCTGACGGGATGCCATTTCTAGCCTCTCACCAACTTCCCCTCTTTACGGTGATTACTATCGGCTAATTGAGGTTTAGGAGTGCGTCGTCCGGGAATCGAAGCCGGATCACATGCGCCGTTGGCGAGCATTCAACCATTGAACCACCGACGCTTGACAAGGAATATGTAGAAAAACAACGTAATGAGCGGTGACACATGTTCTTTTAGGATTAGTTCCTCACCAATGGCTGTATATATATATATATATATATACATGTATAGTTTTGGTAGAGTTAAACTTTCATAGCCAAACCTACATTGACCTTGAACTACCAATCAGAGTTCAGGTGCAGGAAAATCGCATACTCGTTAGAAAAATGTGCTAAACCATATAATTGTCTCTTATGTGTTGTAAGAATGCCTCCCAGTTGTTCCGAGGATAACCCATAGTGAAATTACATCATGCGCGATTGATGTATTCACTGAAGTAACTGTAAATTATGATCTTACGGGATCCATTGATATTCCTGACACTGTTCTTTAACTTAGCCAGAACTCTAATCTCCTACTCTTAACCCTTAACCCCAATCTTAACCTACACCCACAAAACACTTAACCCGTCTGATACTGTCGATTTACAGAAAAAAGTACCTAGGGAATAAGTGGAATACAGTACCCTACCGTAGCAAAATCTATAAAGATAGGCAAGATTTGACTTGGAATAACCTTTCTCAGCGTTCTCTAAATCTGATTGGCTCATGTAGGTCAAGCTTTTACAGATTTTGGTTATGAAAGTTTAACTTCGCCATAGTTTTACACCAAAACTGTACCAGTCATGTGGTTATGTTAGTCAGTATGGTATATATATATAGAGAGAGAGTGGAAATAACTGCTTGAAAGTCATTTAAACAGTTAGTAGAAATTAACAGCAGATTTTTAGTTAACGAAAAGTGTAAATTTGAGGTATAGATGGGGTGAATTCAATATCCGTTAATTTGTAAGGTTAGAAACAAATTATTACATAATAAAGATTAATATTATGGTTATTCTTAGGAAACAGAACCTACACATCTCTACTCGGCTGGGTCCTAGTGGGCTGTAATTTATCCCCTCTCTGCTTAGATGGATTTCTAGTAGTAAGGAAAGATCGCGATGCTTGCCCGATGCCTTTTAACATTCAACACCTACCTATCGCCTGATAGTGGTCCGAATGAGGACTCACTTCATCAAAAGCTGTTAAGTTCACTGCTAAAAAGAAGACCTTAAACACAGTCGCATTACTCTGTTAATTTGTCAAGGCTTTGTTATAACTAAAGCACATTTGTGGTTATGTGCTGAGTTCTATAGTGACCAGCTAACAACAGCTATTGTCACTCACACTTCTGTACTGACAGTCATTTATTCCTGATCGACAACTAAATTCAACTGCAATTTGAGAGATTGTCTCACCTTATGTAAACTTAACGAAAAACACAAAAAAGCTATTTCAGTGTAAATCATTTATGTAGAGAATCGATGGAAGATTGCTGCTCCCCTCACAACTTAAATGTGAATTTTAACCATACGTCAGTCGGATGTAGAAAACAAGCACCTTTTAAACTTTTATGCATTTGCTGTGTGGATGAAAACTTTATGATAAAGTTGGCCAAATGAGGCGATATTCATCTCAGAAAGTCTGGTATCATATCCTGTTTGATATAGAAACAGCAACGATGAGAGTTAATAATATACAAACGAAAGTCAATAAAAGTCATTAGATCTCTTTATCCTCTTCCGAAATGCCAACTCTCTTCGACACTTATTTTTATTGATTGATAACTATGGAGTAACAAGTGTCGTGCTGACTGAATTCTATCTTTCATTTTGATGGCAAGTAGTTTTAGACATACACGTTTCATCCTTACTGTCACTCATCTACAGGGCATATCTGCAACCCTTGTGGAGACTATTGTGTTTTAGTAGATTTGACTCCTCAGGAGCATCAGTTCCTTTCCGCCTGCAGATACATCGTGCTTATGAGTGCCAGTAAACACGAAACCTAAAACTTAAATGACGAGTTTCTCATTCAATAATCTACACTTTTTACATCTCTAAGTCGAATGATTTGTCGTGAGTATACTGAGTGGTAGAAACAAGTTGTAACATATGGATGGGCACACAACCCATAGAGAGAATACAAACAGTATTCCTTCTATATCTGTGAACTAGTCCAGTCATCTGGTCAAAGTGGAAGGGTTGAAGGTAAAAGACTCGTTGCTATTGAAATATGTAAGATTATTAAGAAAATAGGATTTGGGTTTAAATACCTCAGCACAATATGAAGCTTTGATTGGTATTAAAACAGATAACCATGGCCACACTGCATCAGGTTTAGTTTAAGAACAGGACACTATCCAAAGTTTATTGTTATTAATAAATAAAAAAATCTTTAAGACATCTTTTAGGGTTTAAAAGGGATGTACTGTTTTTTTACATTATGTCTAACTCACCAATAATACACGTACCATACACTATAAACCTTATTTTACAGTCGAAATTGCTCCATAGTCAAGATTATCAAGATGTAAGTTGTGTTCGCTCTTTGTGTTTGACTGCTCAAGTATTCGGATAAATGTGGACACATTTTTAATTGGTGTGTGTGTGTGTGAGTACGTGCGTGCGTGTAGGTGAATGTATATGCATTTAATTGTTCCTTACTATTTCACGCTGATATAGTGGTGGTCACCTGAAGCACTTTTAAATGCACTACAGCTATCATTATTATTAAGCACAATATTTCAAAAGTAATCATTCAGCGGACTGAATTGAGCAAACTGATGTGTTTAAGAATGAGAGATAAACAGATCAGCACTTTACACTTGTGTGGATTTATTAATGTGTTTCTTTCTGTCTTCGACTCACAAAATACATTTGTTCCAATCTAAATGGAGTGTTTTTATTTCTCCTTTAAATGTGAAACAGATACTGATCTCTTTTCGTACATAACAAAAGTGCCATTCACCACCGTGTTATAGGGTTGCCATAGTGATGGCTAATTGTAGTGGATGTCAATTTATTATTGCCTTTCAGATCTCGGTGGGAATACTATTAATTTGTTCTAGGTGTAGATACATTCAAATACGCTTCTGTTTCACTTTTTTTGCTGAGTTGCATCAGCCAACGCCAGTGGGTCGATTGCTGACGAAATCTGAGCATGGATACAGAAGGCTCGTTTAGCATACGCCAACTTACTCCATCTCTGGCTTAGTACACGTGATATCCAACTGGCTGTCGACGAAAGGACGTGTATACTGCTCAGCACTTCGTTCCGTCCTCCTTTATCGCTGTCAGATATGGCCATTGAAAATGGAAGGCATGAAAGGCTTGGTTAGCTGTTTCTGATCATATATGTATGCGTTATATCTCCCATGTGTTTTAGGTGACATAATAGGGTGAGTAATATTGAGGTTAGGCAGCCAGGGATTGCTAGTTAAGGAGGAGAAATCAATCAACGAAGTTGTGAAGCAGCTGCATCGATTGAGAAAGATGGTTAAGACATGTGTTACGCATGCATGCCTAGCCATGGATCACCTTCCTCGACGGGCAATGTCAGCTGACTGACATGGGATCTATCAGGTCGGGAAGAGAAAGAGCTATTGGTGGTCAAACCAAAACATGGCTTCGTCAGTGAATGAAATCCACAACAATTAGTTTAAGGTAACCACGTCAGGTGTCGAATTCTTGACTGGCTGGGATTCTCGGGTCGGTAAGAACCAATGAAGGCTGGAGACAATTGGTAATGTGGCTAGCTAAAAATAGTCGTTCTCTATGGCTGGCGTAGATTCATTCACTGTTTGTGATTTATCATATCCAATGAAACTGTAATGTTCTTCCATATCACTCTTCTCTTTCCCTCATTCACACTTCTGTTTATTATCTCTCTGTTTTGAATTTCTCTTGCTTTGTGTGCTACATGTAGGGAGAGTGGCAGTTGGAACTGCTGAACATATGTTCAAACTTCTGTGTTGCAACCACTCAGTTAGGGAAATATTAATAACAGTAGGAGGGATAAAAGACGATTAGGGTGACTCATGTAAAGGAAAATGATGGTGGGAAGTGTTTCCTATGCTTGTGGTAGTGCGTCGTCGTTTGTTACTTCCAGGCTGTCGTACAAAATGGATATTAGTTATATCTTGGTATACCTCACGCTGGTGACACATGGCCTGTTTGAACTGGCAATTAGGTTTAGTTCCGTATTAGTAACTTACCGCCGGCTACGGATCAACAAGAAAATTAGTTCCAGCCAGTGTAGTTTGTTTGGTCATCGCGATCTGCAAGCCCAACCACCAAATCAAGATAGCAGCTATCTGTGGGGGGGGGGGCTTTCGTTAACTAGTATGCTCAAGCTAAATTGTTGATTTGGCACATTTTTCGTTTGTGCTTTCATTTTGTCACTTTAATTGTGTTTAATGTCTAATTTAACACTAGTTTCTTCTTTATTGATTGATAAAGGCTAATTCTTTCTCATGGCTGTGTTATATCTGCAGTGTTTTATTTTTTTGTTTTCACCAGAATTGTCTGAGTTTAACTCCGTAGAAGTACTCTTTGTATTCATCGCATAGCTGATTTGCTGCAAGTATTACACTTTACAGGCAGAATATCTCTCTCCTTTATGTCGAAACCAGTCTATCAATTATGATTATTACAGATGGTAGCCTGCCTATGTCGTTCAGTTTGATTTGTATTGAAACATAGTAGGTATGGAATTTGAAAGGTTCAGTTGGTGTTTGATCTTGTTATTCAGCTGACAGAACTGAAATACTATGCAACTCATCCGTCTGGTACAAGTATATGTCCTGGACTATCCACTTATGAGACAGCTTATAATGCAACCAACTGTCAGATCAAAATAGTTAGGCCAGGGTTCGAACCTGGGAGACAATAATTTAATTTCTGATTATTTCAGTGATAGTTTTCACTGAAGTTTGAATGATTTTAGGAATGTTACTGTGTTGAAGTCGTAGCCGAACAGCTGGCTTTTCCATGTAGTCTGTAGTGCACACTGCTTCCAGAGTACCGTGTTCCCTCGTTTTCTGTAACTCTTCTAACTGTTGGCAATTTGTGACCTAATCAGCTTTCAGATAATTTTTATGTTCTAATTTTTTTGCTGTAATTGTTTCTGCTTTTGTGTGGACTTATAATGTATATACGTGTCAATTTCTTAACAACTGTTCCTTTTGATGTCATTTCCACAATTAATATGGGTTGTTTTCATATTTTGTTGTCTTCAGGAGGATGATCTTGTCAGTGGTCTGCTAATTGAACAAATTGCTCATTGTGTTCTCTGTTTGAAGCGTCCAATGTTAAGGAAATTTGCATTTCGTATGGCATTAGCAGCACATCGATACAGCCGTGCTAAACAGGTTTGATGATGATAATGCTTATATTGCTATGCATATTTCCTCTGTTAATTATATTCTTTTGCAATGTAATTTCAACTGCAAGTATATAATGCAGTCCTGGGGCTCATTGAAGTAATTACAATGAAATCAAAACACACAGTTCAGCGAGGAGTCTCTTTTCGGCGGCGAATCCATTCGCTTAGCTGTACAGTCGCAATTATATATATATTTATATATGCTTATTTTTGTATGTGTTTATGCACCAGGTTTGCCCGATAAGAATAAAAATAAATTAGGGTTATTGTTATCAAGACATTTCAAAAATGTGATGAGTAATCAAATTGCAACTGGGTTGGGGAGGGTGAAGATTGGTAAGAGGGTAGTGATGATATGTTGTCAAAATACATTGTTAATAACACATAAAAGAAGTTGAATAAGTGTGATACAGTTAAGTAATAAGATGAGTGAGTTGTGGTTAGGATGCACATAGAGACGAAGGAAAATATATAATTATGTAAGAGTTCTACAAATTACAAATGTTATAAGGAGTTAGAAAAAAGCAAGCACAGAAACCTCAAGTCAGTAGCAGTGAACACGGTTGTTACCATGATAGTAGGAATGGTTGGATGACTTTCTTTTGTACACATAACTCTGGTTTCTTCAAATGAATGGTTAAGGCTTCAGCAATACAAAGGCGATGAAAGCGTTTTGCTTTTGGTAGGTTGTTCTTCGCTTTGTAGATCACTTTGAAACAGAGGGCGTTTGTTGAGATGGAATGACCAGTGTTGAGTAGATGTTCGATTATCGGCACTCCTTATACAGCCACTATTACCTCCTTGCAGCCATGCAGGATAGTGTTCTTGAACCCTTTTGGACAGTATGTGTGTCGAAAGACCAATGTAGCTGGCTCCACATCAACAGATGAACTGATATATACACACAGAAGTGGTCATATACGGTGCTTGACGCTTCTGCAGATCAATGGGCGACTGGAGATCATTATTCTTAGCGTTGCTGCCGAAACAGATGCTGAAATTCTTGTCTTAAGGATATTGCAGACTTAGTCTCCCTTGAAATTCAGATTCATGTAAAGTATGCTTTTTGAAACAAAGGGTATTTCTTTCCTCTGGACTTTTGGTTTGATATTCTTGTCGATGAATCTTAGTGGCTATTCATTTTGAATGGGTTTTTTTGTTGAGAAAATCCACTTGTGTTAGCTGACCGTTCCAAGTGGGTTTTCAATGGACTGACCTTCTTGTGGTTCCGCAGGTCGTCTTGTTAGTTGCACATCAAGAAAGGGAATTTCAGATTTACACTCCATTTCTAGAGTAGATTTTATTGCCGGATGGCAGCTGTTGAATATTTGTAGCAACTGATCTTGCTCGTAACTGTTGTCGCAACCAACGAAAATGTCATCTACGTATCGTTTGTACAATTGCAAATTGTCAATGGATGACTTGAGTAGGCCGTTCCTAAGGCTAGCCATGAAGCAGTCTACTAGTTATGGACCGAAGGAAGATCCCATTGCAGTACCGTCCTTTTGTCTGTAGACGGTGTTATTGGAAGTAAATTGTACACTGAGAGTGCATCTCAGTAGTAGCTCTTTCACACACACATACATACAAAAATGAGTATGTATAATTGCGATTGTACAGCTAAGTGAATGAATTCGCCACCGAAAAGAGACTCTTTGCTGAACTACTTGTTTTGTTTTCATTAATGTCTGGATGGGGATTATTCATGAACAAGTGATCATAATCTTAGTTAGTTGATTTTGAACTGTAACTATTTGGTGCAACTCTTATATTGGGTACATTAATTACTCGGTGTGGTCTTATGTGATACGACTTGATTATTTGGGTCGAAATTATTAGAGAATAATTGTACACGGCGTAAAACTTAATAACTACTGGTCAGAAATTTACGCGTCAGCCAATGCACACAATTTAATAATGATAATAATAATAATGAAATTTAGCCATTTGCTTGCTTTCTTGATGTCACATGCTACAGTTTGAATATTTTGGATTACCATAGGAAACTTTGGTGAAATTTCACTATGAACATACATTATTTGCTAAAGACATTTAATTTTAAGTTTCTTCACTTTACCCTAGTGTAGCTAACGAGAAAATTGGTTAGCATGGCTATCTGAGGCGAACCAATTCCGTTACACCACTAATGAGAGATCAGTCTTGAAAGAACGAAACATTCGTTTGAATTCCCCTCATCAGATTAGTCGCTTCCAGTTACGTATATCAGTCCGTAGTACATAACACCTTGCATCTTTTAGGTTTCTGGATTGTGCCAAGAAGGTTGCATATTACGGTTTTGTTTTGAGATCAAAAGTTAGTAGTACCTTCATTTTCCAACAAGGCGTATAAGCGAACAATTGTTTTGTTTTCAATTAGATTTTCTTCAGGCTTTACTGCAATTTAAATAGATTTATACATAAAAAATTTAATCAATGACAGTGAGTTTGTGGGTCAAATAATAACACTGTGTTAATTGTTTTGAACATCAGTAATATCGATGATTAGATTAACATAAATATCGAAAATAAGGTTTATGCAAGTGGCGATAAGAATAACGAAGGCAGTAATTTGTGTGTACGTACATGATTGGGTAACTAAATTAGGTCAAATCTTAAAAGTTACGTAATACTAAAGGTGAAGTGGACAGATAATCAGAGTTTGAATAAATATCATAAAAGCACGAATAAAATGGACAATAAAGGGTGGGAGGCTTATAATTAGACCTTACGTAGACCAAGGGGTGGACAAGAGCAGAGCGAACTTCTTTTGTAAGCAAAGACTAGGATTGTTCTTTCTAATTCCCACTGCTTTGGCTATGTGTGTAATAGGTGGGTTCGAATTTTGTTCGAAATGTTCAATGGAATGTGATGGATAACTTTGAAGGTACTTCTTCTGTCCACTTGGTGACCTCTGTCATCAATTAAATCAGACAAAATAGAACTTTTTATAGCTTTTGCTTGGTCTTTTCCTCCAAACCATGAAGGAAAATGTTCATTTATATGTTTGTTGAGCTGTCTAGTTGTTCGTCCTACAAAGCTTTCTCTGTAGGAGCAACTAAATTTGTAAATACACACAGAGTTGGCACCGCTAGACAGCTTGTTTTTCGCTGGAGTAAACATAATTGGTCGGTTGGAAAATGACAACCAAAGGGTGGCGGCAGTGTACGTCTGTTTTATTGCTCTCGATATTCTTAGATGAAGGATTACAATAGTGGCGTCCCCACTAAATTCTGTCAGTTTCTCTTTATTACACCGTATGTTCATGTGTCTCCTTACAAATCTACTAGGATAACCCATTCCAGCTAACGTATTTTGAACGTATCCTAATTCATTTTCTAGGGCGTCATCTATACATATCCTTCTTGCCTCTATTCGTGAGGCATCTGACTAGTTTGATTTTGCATCGGATTTGTAACCTTTACGTGGGTAAATATAAATGCAAGTTTTGTTATTCTAGAATAATGTATTCTGTCATTACGCTATACGAATGGATTATATTTCAGATAGAGTGAAAATTGTTGCCTCTAAATGCAGAAAATATGACCAGTAAATACTAATATTGATAGAATAAGATTTTATTTTTAAAAAAACACACTAACTGCATTGAATTTTCTGTCAACAGATTTGTTCTGTTAGTGTTTTAAAACAACATAGCTAAATTCCACCTTTGGTGTATATATATGGATTTCTTATTACTAATAACTTTAAAGTCGTGGCTTCACAATCCGACTACGACTGAAGAGTCCCAACCTATGATGACACAGCTAGCTGGCTATCCAGTATACTTCATAGTTTCTCTGACGCATGCCAATTTGTAATCTAACTTGAAGTCAATCATACCCCGTAACAAACCGAACACTTGAGGGGATATGCTTTATCTCTTTCCACTGTTTCAACATCTGCTTCTTTATGAATCCATCGCTTCTCCTCGCACTGCCTTTTTTTCACCTTATTCCTCCCTTTTTCTACATACCTAGTCACCAAAACGGCAACCTGCTCTTATGTTATTGGATTAAATTTCCCTACTATTGGACTAATATGAACTTATCGAAATGGATGTATCAGTTGATCGGTACTTGTGTTTTTTTATACATTTCTTAACATATTCCTATTATTGTCTCCCTCCCTTCCCCACCCCCGCTGAGGAGGAGAATATCTAATGATGATAGGCTGTTGTCTTGTTTTCTTTGGATTCAGGTAAACTTCATTAGTAGATGAAAAGTTAATTTTTCCCCGTTGTTGTAATTATCTTATAGTGTCACCAATGACAATGACTTTCACGAATGTTTCATTTTCATTGGTGTTTATTTTCAATTAATTCTAGCCCCATTTAGCTATACGTAGTTATAAATCAGCTATGCCTATTGTAATGGGTCATGGATGGAGTTTACTGGAGGTGAGTTGTATTTTTGTCGGTCATTATTTGGTCTGTTTATACCATGCTGTATTATTCTCCCTTCCCAGAGACAGTCACTCTGGAATAGTATCAATCATAGATTATCCTGGTTAATAGAAGGTGAGACAAATCATTCTGTGATAATCAAAAGGGCATAAGCTCGACTAATATACTGTCTAAGGTTCTAGGTTTATTTATCATGCTCAGACTAATTGGTTATCGGGAGAAACAAATCCGCGCAAACCACTCAGTCTTTAGGCCATGAAGAGATGGCATTGATCATATCTTCACCCTTCGACAGATTCTGGAACATAAGCATACTCACCGATTTCCAGTACTTCACATATTTCTTGACATGAAGGCAGCATCAGACTTTGTCAACTGAGAGCTGTCGTGGCAAAGTTTGACTGTGAAGATATATCACAGTAATGAAGGCATTCTACTCGAAGTTACTCAGCTGTATGAAAGCTGACGGGAGATTTTTCATGTGAAGTGATGAAAACCAGTGTTGTCCGATAGGAATGTCTAAAGTCACCATTTTTATTTAATTTTGTCATAAATTTATCTGTGGATACGACCCTAATCAAGTTTAGCGATGTACAGATTGGTTTGTTACCAGTTTATACCGTCTTGTCGATTCGTATTAGTATGCAGATAATTTAATCCTTCTAAATCAAGACGCTGACAAAATACAGATTCTTCTAAAGACCATGGGAAGAAATCTTGGTATATTCGGCACGCGATTCTCTCGTATCAAATGTAAGATGATCCTGCAGGACTGGGCTGCACCGACTCTTAGTCTAAAGATAGGGACTGAAGTGGTTGAGTGTATTGACCACTTCACTTATTTGGCAATGAACTGGTCGCTGACGAAGTCTTGGCGCGGATACAAAAGGCTCGTGTGGAATGTAGGTCAATTGCTCTGTTCTCGTTATTTCGGTAAATACGCTCTGAATCACGTTTGATATACTGATAGCTTTCTATGTTATTCTGGATCTCAAAGTGGATTCGGTGGAGCATGAATTGAATTCAAACTTTATTACCTCACAGTCAAATGTTATACAGTTCTTGCATACTTAAGTGCGAATACTGTAGTACTCCGTGTGTGTGTGTGTGTGTGTTTATGAAGCAGTATGCTGCTAAACAGTTTGTGTGGAGGATAGACAACAAACTAGTGCATTTAACGGACGCATCTCCATTTTTCTTAAATTTTCTTAAATTGACTATAAATCCACTAAAATTGCAGAATTAAATTAAATCAATTTATCTGTAGATTTGTTTTGCTGTAACAGCCTCTATTATTCTCTTTCTTGCATTTGTTCACTTTACACTATTAAAGGACCATATTAATTTCAATGTTGGTAGACAAGCTTACCTTATTGATGATTTGATTGGATCTACTAAAGCTCTAGCTGAAACATTGAATGCTTCTAGTCGACAGTCTGCGGAACGTCAGCTGTTCTTTGTTAAAGAATATTTAACAGTATTGACCGTAAGTGCATTTTTAATCGTCTACAATATTTTCGTTATTTTGAACGATGATGACTAGCAGTGGAATCCAGGATGCGCATTTTGTCCCATTTGGGACCGTCATCTGGATGCACCTGCAGTCCCCACTTTGTGATGGTGTTTCCACTGAGACTGGAATCCCGGCACACATCGCTTTAAACCCCAAAGCGTCATCCACTAGACCACTTGCACCACGAGATCACAAGAGGTGTCTCTGGTGACTCAAGTGGTCTAGTGGATAACTCCTTGGCATATGAAACTGCGGACACTGCGTTCGAGCCTCGGTGGGAATACCATCACACACTGGGGAATGCAGGTACATCCAGATGACTGGTCCCAAATAGGATGAAATGAGCATCTTGGATTCTACTGTTAGTTACCACTCATCAATTGACTTAAAGTTACATGACCAGAAATCGTCGAAGCATCTGCACAAGTAGCCGACATGTTAAACTGAGACCGAGTACTTCGGTCCTATCGATTGACAGGGAAATCTGAGTTTAGTTAAGGAGTTACCATTTGCTGAAAAATTGAAAGTTTCCGTTTAAGCATTAGAAATCTATCTACAGGATGTCCTGCTTGATTTTGAAGCTTCTAGTTTGCTGACACCCTTGAGTAGTAATCTTAATGACTCTATTTTGTCTTTAAGTTATAAATTCACCGAAGACAACTAGGCTTATTTGTACTACTATTATCCATTTGTCCGATAAGATGTGGAGGCAAAACAGTCATACTGAATGACAACGGACACAACTGTCATATCCTATGTTCTAATCATGCATGCACAAAGTTTTGACCATATGTGTTGTTATCAGACAAACCGCCTAAAATAACCTGAGTACTACTGGTACATTTTGCACTGTTCTAAACTTGTATTAAATGGTAGGCTTTCACTTTGGGATTGGATTTAAAATCCTGTCTGGTATGAATGATATTCTATTATCGATCCGTAGATCTTCAATTGATTGGATTTCATCATCGATTAGAGGACCATTGGAAAACTAGCTGGGAGTACTAGACATCTGTTTCGTCGGCTTAGTTTGGGACTCTTCATCAGTACGCACCCGCTGACGTTCAAGCCCACGAACTTCTGCTTACAAGCCGAGGTCGTGAACCCTTAAGCCACTGAGACCCAATCCAATGGTTCATAAATTCCAACGTCTGCCAGTTCACGATATGACGCGACCACTGGCGAATGTCATCCGTGATGAGCACTTGTCCTTACACTCGACCTGCTGTACTCCCCTGGTCATGACTTCTCACTGGAACCAAGTTAACTACATACCTGAATAGGGCGATTCACTAATGAGCATCAGATTGATATTCAAGTGTTGGTTTGCAGGGATTTGATTTGACTGGTTTCAGAATTTTGTCATGAACTGACATTGGTTAGAGAGAGAACCATTGGGAAACTGATGTCAGTTCATTATGAAATTCAGATCCGTAGATTGTAAGTTTTCGGAATCCATTTCTGCTTATTATAGTTCCTATGAATCTCTTTCTCTACATTTGTCTGCTACATGTAGTGTGTCGACTTGAAATGGTGCAGTTCTCTGTAAAGTTGTATGTTGAAACTCACTCACTCAGTCAGTCAGTCACTTATATTGTCCATACTAGATAGGTTTCTGTACGAAGGTATTATAGCTATATAATATACAATACCCCATTCAGCTCACTCTAATAATTCATGACCTCATTGATTTGTGCTGTGTTTATCATCCTTCACCTTTTTTTTGTAACGCATTTCTACTTTCACAGATATTACACGTTGAATTAGATTCTGGTTTTCCATGTGTTCTGTTTGACCCAGTCATCCTAGACATCTAAGCTGATAATTATAGTGGTGATTGATTTACTTGTCTTACCTAAAACTCTGTTCAATAGTTCCGTATCATTCACTCAGTGAAACTCATGAGTTGCTCCAAAAGAGACTTTAGAACTGTAATGTCAGAAAATTAAGAGACTTGGTACCAGACCTTTCTTTTTAAGGAAAAACACATCATATTTATACCTTCTTAGTCATATTAAAGTTCGACTAGATGATTGGTTGACACTCGGTGCAAAATTAAACAAGTTCAATGAAGTTATATCATGTCCACAATGTAAACTAAATCCGGATTAAATGGAATAAACACTTAAACGGTAATTTCAATTTTGGCAGCTTCTCATCAGTCTGGATCACGCCATAAAATCCCTTTCATCCTTGTTAAGTTTTCCAGTCTGAACATCAGAGGATTGACAGAAATTCTTCGGTAAATAAAAGTGGTTTTGTCTTTCGTTACACTCTAGGTATGGTATATTTTCAGTGTTGAAATATTCATTCAACTTCATAATGTCAGTATTATTAGAGTGTTTCTTTTCAATATTGCAATCTCATCTGTATTTCTTTTATTTCTTCTTTAAAAAAAATTGTTAGAAGGTATTATCCACCGGTGGATACTCTGAAAATCATCTTTCAATAGAACAAAAAGCTTTACCGGAATTCCCTTTGCCTATTATTGATCTGCATAATTTTAAAGTGATGATTGGAAAACCATCACAACACCATCAACAACAAGCTGGTAAGTGTAGGTTCGAAGCTGGTGGTGCATTTTCCATTGAATAATGATTTTTAAATGATTTTAGCTTACAGTGAAGATAGGCTTTCAGTGGACTGTGGCACAGCAGTTAGGATGCTCGTAATTCAGTTCTCAGCACTAATTCTCTAGAATATATGTGAATCTGAGTAAAGTCCTTCGTGTAATGCATTCCACATTGTTCAATAATAATAATAATAGCTTTATTTTGAACAGTGTTTACTTAATGTACAGAATTTTCAGCGGAAATTATTACACAGTAGTTTCTTTTTGTCCAGGACCTCCAGGTAAAATAGTAACTGACACTAAGTCACGCGACACATTACTGTTTGACCTGGTGCGAAAGTAAATCCCTTATTATGTCTATTCTCCACCACCCTTGAGACTACAATTCGAGTACATTTTGTGACCCAAGGACATAATAATGGCTGAATAACAGAAGGTCAAGGTCGTTTGTACTAAAAATCTGAGGACGCAATTATCTCCCGTGTATTGGGATACGTTGTCAGCGACAATTTTGCTTTTCTTCAAATTCAATATAAATTTGCAAATCAACAAGTTTTTTGACATTGTAAATACTCGCGAGAGAGTAGAAAACACCATTAGAGATCACATTTTAATAGATTAAAACGAACCGAACAAGATAAATTATATGCAGTGTATAATAATACATTTTCTTAATAACCCGGATTTCAAATAGGCCGACGAAACTTCAGTGAAAACTCCCGAATTCAAGGTTAGACTGTTTAATTTACACGTTTCCCACTTAAATTTTTAATTTTTGAAGGTAATTGTGAAAAGATGATTGTCCTACAGCGATTTATTCTTTAATCTATATAGATAATAAGCATGTTCAAAGAGAATCATATCCTGGTAAGAGATGATGCCAAATTCTCCTTACACACATATGCATATTACCTTATTATGCAAATGCATTTTCTACACTTGTGAAATGCACAGCTAATATCGGTGTCGGCCTGCTTGCCTTTTTATTTATTAAACAACAATGCTTGCCTATGTTTTAGTATTTTTCGTTTACAATCAGTGGTGTTTCTTTATTTTGCATGTGTGAGCACAATAAACAGCATTGTGTAATCATTATTCTAAATGATTTACTTGCACCTTACTATGTATGTGTGTATGTTAACATTCAATTGATTGCTTTACTAATTTTGATTTTTGTGTGTGTGTGTGCTCTAAGTCTGTATTTGATTGACAGTAGTTTCAAAGTCTCTCTGCAGAAACATCCTCCTAAATGCTATTTTACAATTTAGCGCTGCGTATTTGACCTAGTATAATGCTCGACAGAAGTATGTACTGTTGTGTTCAACCCACTTTGTTTTCCAATTTTGATCTGAGCTCTAGCATCTTTGCATTTATCTATTTATCACATGTCGGTGGTACAGAGGTAGGATGCTCGCCGACCACGCTTGTGGTCCGGGGTTCGATCCCCTGCTGACGCACTCCTTTAACTCGCTAAGTCAGTAATAAGACTGGTATAGAGAGAAGGTGGGGCATGAAACTAACAACCCCATCCCGTAAAAAATAAACACCACTGCTACCGAAACTTCAAAGCTCTAGCTTGAAGCTCTATGTTCCACTGGGAACCTAAAAGGAATAAAAAAAAATCTATCACACTATCTAACCTGAACTCTGTTTTAATGCACACATGAACAGTATGACTGTCATTAACAGCTGTTTAAATTTGAACAAAGCAAGAACAATAGTGGTTTGTGCAGAATAATAAAATGGTACCATCATTGCTTGTTTCGTTCGCTTCTCATCAGCTCAGCTGATTACAGCCCAAAGACATTATTAAGTCTAATGTACAGAAACAGTTTTAAAATACTTACACAGAGAGTTCAAGTTTCAACATAAATTGGTATATCTATACAATGGTAATAATAATAATTACGTTATCTCAAATAATAATAATCATACACAATGGGATTTTTGGTGTTACGTAATCAAATGAAAGAGAGGATGAAAACATCCAGTTACCAGACAGCAGGGCAAGGAAAGACTGATAACCGCTTCTTTCTGAAAGCATAAATCGGATTTCATTCTCTTGATGGAGATTGCTTCATCAAAGTTGAGGAGAAATTAACTCTTTTGCCTATTGATAGTTTTGAACGATCTTGCAATGTCCACCTCATAACCCGTGTCGAAGAGATGTCTGGCGATGGCACCGTTGAAAGCATTTGCTCCGTTTAGACATAGGCTTTTCAGTACGTGTTCAGAAAGTCTATTGTTCGTTTACTTGCAGAGAAGTTGGGACGCATCCGTCAACGGCTCGCTTTGTACACTATGAAACATTCATTTCATTTTGCTGAAAGCGTGAACCACTTGAACGTTTCAAATAGGTTCATGGCGTCATTTGATGTAACCTCCTTGTTCAGTAGGATCCAAATCAATGAAACTATCGAGATCATTTGTCATCATTCTGATCTTCTTCCACTTCGATTGTCGGGATCCAAAACGCCTACTGCTAATGTATACCATGGATGTACAATTCCAGTTTGACAACACTCTTTACCACTAAATAGATGGTATAGCTATAGGCGGCAGTCCGCTTACACACAGCTATATAACCTGTGATTGAAGATTTTAACCAACATGGCCACTTGATTCGTACTAAAAAACAAATTAACAAAAATAATTTGTCGGTAGAGCATTGTCTCCTGCGTTTCGGCTTTTATAAACATTTAACACTATGCTAGGTTTTAAACTATTCAAGTCGGTCAGCCGATAAGGAAGAACTCTGTTGTTAAGTATTTATGTCATTGTATTTTTTGGCTGTTCATACCACTAACTTTTTGACAATTTGCACAATTCTTGGTTTTGTTACTTAACAACATTGTGTGTGTGCTTAGCTGGTAAACTTAACTCCATATTGATTTTGTTTTTACAGTTTTCCGCTTAAAAAGCATTGGTTAGTAACTAAAAAAAGCTATATTGTCTAACCCTATTGATTAATTGTATTCTATCGATGGACATGTACATTCGTTTGGAGGGGACGTGAGAGAACTGGAAAACCATACTTCTAAACTTTTTGTGCCTATGGGCTTCAGAATTTGAGAAGATCAAATGACATGAATATATTTTGATCATCGACACCTATGGAAACGTTGCTTTGCTGCCTTTGGAGCACATTTCAAGTCAGAAGCTCAGGAAATGAACCCTTAAGACAGAGACCTTCTTTGGTCTGCTGAGCTTCTTAGGCATCTTCTATATCATGATATAGTAATCAGTGGAAAATTCTACGCTCATGCACACTATAGAAAATTACTCCGTTGATTATATATTTATCAGCTTAATCCTTTATCACTGCATTTTCATCTATATATATAAGTCATCTTTTTTATTTTTATTGAGTGTATGTCTTTTATTATCTTTATTAACTTCAGCTGTTCAACATTGTTTGTAATCACAGTCTCTCCGTACCGTTTCGAGTTGCTAGTTAGTTGTCTTTAGACTGTTCATCTTCAGTGCGAAATCTATCAAGCCTATCCTGAAACCGCCTGTCGAGTCCAAGCTTGCTACCTTCAATGTTTTCGCGCTAACGCAAATTGGACAACAGGTAGTTTTGGCGAGAAAACCAGAAAGCCTCGTTGTCGATGTCTGCCGCATTTCAGAGACCAATATTCAAGATCCTAGTGTAGTGCTTAGAATGTCTCCTCTATGTGAAGGTTCAGATGGTGTGTACTACCTGCATTTATCCGAGGACCCTGTACATTATCATTCGGCCTAGCAGGTTTTGGTGAAGTTCAAAGGAAAGTCGTTCAGGTGGTCGATGGAGACTACATGATCTTAGGTTACGTAATGGGCACGTCTTCTGCAACTTGCGCAAGTCGTAACTTACTTCTAGCCGACAGCGACTTCCGACACAGCTATTCTTTTGTTCTATCTGGAATTCTTCCTGTGCTACTCATGCGTGGACTCAAATGGATTGCATTCCTATCATTGACCTTGAACATTGATGTAGTTGCATTCAGAACTATTACTCAGCAGGTTGATGTATGTAAACTGGTAGTATTTTCTACCTCTGCGATGCATTAAAACTAGCTAGAGTCAAGACTAGCCACAAATCTCCCGCTGCACCCACAAGACGCCATGAGAATTGGCAATAAAGCAATTTATGGTCTGAAAGAAAGTTCCGTTAAAAGCCAATGGATTTCTGAGAGTTCCTTGCAAGTTTTGTTGCCTAATGGTGTATTCCAAGGATATTACTATTGTCCCTTTGGGTTCCAAGGGGGGAACAAATGGCTTCAACAGCACATCCCCACTTTTTCCTCTTCCCCGTGGTCCTCTTTACGTAGCGTCATGATTGCCCATAGCCTTTCATTTCCTCACACGATCTCCTCCACACTATCAACAGATGCCCAACTCGTCGTTCCCTACTTGGGTTCCACTCAATCGATGGCCTGTCATGCGATGTCACTCGACGGTTTCCACAGCATGTGCCCGATACATCTCCATTTCCTCCCATATATTTGTTGAACGATTGGTTCTTGGTTAGTTTGTTCCCAGAGTTTCTTGTTACTAATTCTTTCTGGCCACCCATTAGATCTTCAGAATGAAGCCAGCGAAGTGGGCGGCTGTTGATAAAAGTCTGCAGTAGGCTGTTGTAAATGGTTTCCACGACGCTAGCGCGCAGTTTCTAACTCACATAGAAGAACTGACTGACTAGACATTTGTGTTGAAAATCCGAAGCTTGTACCTGATGCTGTGGAATACCAGAAATTTTCAAACTGGTTTGAGAGTGATGAATGTGTGCTGCATTGCCTTTCAAGTTCTGACTTTCACTTCCTCATCTGTTCCGACTGCCTGTAGTTGAAACGATGCTTCCTAGATAAGTGAAGAGAGTGACCACTTTCAAATTTCCCCCACTGGTGGTGATTAGTGGTAGTTATTGTTTTTGGTGGTTATGGTGGTGGTTGGTTATCTTCATCGCCTCTGTCTTCTTTGTGTTCACCTCGAGTCCTGTCTTCGCTGCTTGCCTGTTGTGCCAGTTTGTTGGTTTTCACCTGCAAGCTTTCGAGCTTGTGTGACAATAAACATAAATTATCCGCGAAATTTATATCTAATCGGCCTGTCCAACGTATTCCTGTCTCCGCTCCCATGCACAATCTGACGCATAATCCAGTCCACTACAATTAGAAATATCCTCGTTGATATTAGACAGGCAGCGTTGTCTTACTTGTGTCTTCAGTTGAAAGGCTTCTCTGAGTTTTCCATTGTGGATCGGCTGACATGTAGTGTTGTCATATAGGTGTTGAATGAGGTTCATAAAGATTTGAGCATTGTACGCCGTAGTGTTGAAGCAGTTTCCAAATTACTTCTCAGTCAACACTGTCTGTCAAAGGCCTTTTCAAAATTGATGAAGTTAAGGTACATGGTTGACTGCCATTCTATGCTTTGCTCCATGACGATGTGTAGAGTTGTTACTCGGTCAGCAAATGATTTGCTTTTTCTAAATGTAGCTTGTTCCAGTGAGTGGAATTCTGTATCCATTCATTCTCTCCAAGATGGTGCGACTTAGTATTTTGCTTGGCATGGACAAGGGCACGATTCGGCGTGCGTTCTTGCACAGGCCTAAGTCACCCTTCTTTGGTAGCTTGACAAGGTAGTCTCTTTTCTTATCATTAGGTAGGTTTTCTTCCAGCCAAATGTTTTGTAATATTGGCATAAGCATATCCGCTGCGGTCTATGGATCCGTTTTCAGCGCTTTAGGGGGGGGAATTCCATGTGGTCCTTCTGCCTTCCTGAACTTCAGTAGTAGCCTGATTGTTTGATTTTGTTGTAGGATTGGTGTCGACTGGCAGTTGTGTGCGTCCTGCTGATGATATTTCTGGCCGAGTTGCAGGTGATAGTCGATTGAAGAGTTTTTGGAAATGATCAGCCGATTGTTTTATTTGTCATTGCTACTTGGTTATTGGGTTCCTTTGACCATGTCTTATAGGTTTCATGTGTGTTGATCTCTTCGCGGATAGAGACGTTGTTCTTTCATATAGTGTTGTGTGATCTCTTTCACCTGTAACCTGTTCTGCTTGGGTTGCCAGAGTTTTGTAGAATTATCTTTTGTTTTTCCTAGCACCCTTCTTCACTTCTTTATTCAACGCGATGCACATTTGTGCATTCCAGGGATATCGAGTATAATAATCTAACAAAGCCTATTTGGCCGGAGAGTAAGCAGTGCTTATGTAAGAATCACGAAGTCTGGTAATATGGACTTGCATATGAACTGAAATCAGCACCGTCATCTGATAGTAGTTGGGAGTTGTCCTAGCTCATTGGAGTCACCGGCAGTATTAAGCACAAATCGGAGAGCCAGACTGTGAGTAAAACCACTCTCCAGTTAACAGCTGACTGGGACGCGCAGGGCTCTGGGCAGAGCATTTTCAGAAAGAATTCGTCTGGTCAGCGTCCAAAATCGCCATCTACAATGACTACCTATCACCTAACACTGATCAACCTGACGAAATGGAGAGTCGAAACCAACCCCAAGTACTGAAACTGTAGAAGGCACCTGGCCCAGACAGCCATCCGGTTATTGTTAATCAGGGAATTGAGTGAACTGACCTTTAGTATGCAAACAATGTTGTTTTACTTTTTGATTACATACAGGCTCCTGAAATCGCATTGAATCAGTTCGTTGTTACTATCTGTATGTTATGTACTTTGCTTCATCTAGGTGCAAACTATGGTCTCAAGATTGACAGGAGCTTGTACCTGTATCTGCTTTTACGCTGGCAGGTGAACCGTAAGAAGTATTCAATAAGTTCGCGAATCTAAGTAGTTGTACAAATGCTGGTTTATGTATGATTGTTGAGATGCCTACTCGTATAGTAAAGGGCGGAATGGCATAGGTCGATTTGGTTCATCTCTGGCTCTGCCGTGACGTTAGCCAGACAGTCAAAGTTTGGGTTTACAATACTTAGATGCGCATAGTCGTGCTCGGTGCCTGTGAAAGCTGGCCTCTCCAAGTTGATGTGTAGCAACTCAATCGTCCTCGGCTTGGTAAAAGTGTTGTATTCGGTGGTATCATGATGTAAATAACTTTTAGGTCCGGCTGTGTGTGTTTGGTCACTGTAGAAATTGTCTTCGAATAAATGTTGTAATCTTGGAGCACCAGTTTCTGTGGCTTCGAGGTGTACCATGAGTGTCATCTTAGTGACTTGCGCGACGTTAACTGTTTGCTAATCGTGTTTATGGGTAGAAAATCCGTAAGAGGTACGGGTGTTCAGGCCATAACAAGGAGCTGTCGGAAGATGGATAGTTGTATTAGCTTAGCAACTGTTGGTTCATCCCGACTCCTTGAACATGGGATCTGAAAGAGATAATGTGTATCACTGGCTCAAGATGTGAATCGTAGTCAATGGAGCGCATTCTGGAAGTTCTTCCTTCCATCCCTCTCTTTTTTCTTCTGGATTAGTATGCCTACGTGTTTTATGATCGTGTTTTCCACGATTATTATATTGTGTTCCATCGTTTTTGTATATTCTGTCTGCTCATATTTTACCAAGGTTTGTTTCACAATAATGACAAATCAATTATTGGTTCACCTACTTATCAACTCCATTTTTATTCTCATTAGTCGGTTCGTATACTTTAAACAAATGATTAACATTCAAAACTCTTATTATTGTATATGAAGTCGGGCAAAAGAAACACACAATAGGTAGTATCGTTTTTCAACCTTTTTTATTCCATCAGTTGGTTGTTTTTTAACAACTTTCTTAATTTTCCAAACCTGCTTAGACTTACTTATCAAGAAGGCGTATTTCCAACCATTCGGAAATGAGGTTGCTCACCCAAAGACCTCTTTTACCTACCTGGGAAGCATCGTCCCAACTACAGGCGAACGGAACTGACGAGGATATCAAAGCAAGAATCGGAAAAGCAAGACAAGCTTTCACTACTCTCAAGTCTGTGTGGAGGTCAACAGCACTCAGCATCAAAAATAAGATCCGGATTTTCAACTCCAATGTGAAGTCAGTCAGTGCTACTATACGGATCAGAGACTTGGCCAGCGCGTCATAAAGAGCATCTCAAACAAACTACAGACCTTCATCAACAGTTATCTTCGCTCAATACTCAAGATTAGATGGCCGGCCAGAAAAGATCAGCAACAGGTAGGGATATCTGGGAGCGAACCAGCCAGGAACCGATTGTGAAACAAATAGGCAGGAATAGATGGAGATGGATTGGCTGGCCATACTCTGAGGAAACAAACCATCAAGTGACATCATACGACAGGCTATCCCTCGAGTGGAACCCGAAAAGGAAGCGGCGAGTTGGTCGTCAGTGCAAGGGTGACTTGGAGGAGGTCATGTGAAGAGGAGATGAAAACGTGTGGGCAGACTTGGAGCCAGTTGACTCTAGCAGAGAACCGAACGCAATGGAGACTCACGGCTGAAGCCCTATGTTCCTCTAGGAATTAAAGGATACAATAATAAATAATAATAATACCCAAAGACACTGAAGTTTATATTATTTGGGATTAGTGAAGTTGTATTGTCTTCGTTTTGTTATTATGTGTGCGTGTTTAAGCTATTCTCTTATCTTTTATGCTTTTTTCTCTTCCCCTACAAGATTTATATATTGAGGCTCGTGGTATACAGTTTTCTGATGCAGAAGATGAAGACAATGAGGACGATGGCGAAGGAGGAGGAGGAGAAGAAGGTCTCAGTATAGATGAAGGATTATTAGACTCTACTGAATTACAATTTCAACAATTCACTAATCAATATCATAAATGGATGGAGGCAACTGATGTTAGCAGTAGCGATGAAAGTTCACTGGATGACGATAACGATGAAGACCCAGAAAATAGCAACAAATCTTGTAATCCTTTTCAAAATAATAATAATAATAATGAGGATGATTTAAATTATACTGTAACACGTAGAAAAGTTATATCACCACAAACTATGATTTCTCGTAGGTTGGAGTATATTCTATTGCAGTCAGCCTGTCATTCTAAAATATGTGGATTACCATTTAAACGGGATAAAATTATCTTCACATCGAAGTCCAGATTGAAAAAAACACCATCAGTTCCTGTTGGAGGTAAGTTTTATAACCTTTATCCTATGTGTATAAGAACTTTTATAATTCTTAACACTTGTGAGCCATTTATTCTCGTTTCTTTTGCAATCTAAGTGGCCTTTCCAGCTTCACATATGGTAAGGATATTTATTCCATGTCCCTATGCTTATTTCTGCTTTTATTGTCTGGCTTACAGGGGGGGGGGCTATCACTAGCCCGCTTTATTTCGTCTCTTAGAAATGTATTTTCCGAATGAATTTATGTGATTAATAACAGTCATACTTCATTTATATGAACTGTGATCAAGATTTGTCCAAACAGTTCCCCTCACAAGAGTGTGGGGGTATAATGAAAGGCAAACTCTTATAAACAAGAATTTCAGCCGTATGGAAACCAGTAATTCAAAATCAGCTTTTAAAGTTAACAGTAGTCATTTTATTCAGCATAAAAGGATTCAGTCTACTCGGGGAAATAAATCCATAGTAAAAGCATTCAAAGGTCTTATAGACCCTCTTATAAAGTAAACTTTTTGGATTGATTGTTAGTGAAAGTTAATTGGTTGGGGACGACATGTTTGCTAAGACACATGTGGAAGACTGGCGTATCTGGATATATCGATAAAATTCATATTTCTTTTGATAGTTCAACATGCATTCCTCACTGCTGATTTCAGCGACTTTGTTGCAGACAGCTACAAAACCTACGTGCAGTATCGTTTCATTTCAACATTTAACATCATGTTACTGTACTCAGGAATTTTTGTGCAACTTAGCTGATGCTCAGCACTAGACACAACCAGTTATGCGTAGAACTATCTAGCAACCGACTCCTGTCTTATAAGCAAGTAAATTATAAATGTTTTCTTCTCCAGTGGTTGTTGAGCTTTAATAATACTTAAACCATTATGAATTAATTCACTTACTTACTTCTCAGATCCCTAATTCGTGCAGTCCACTTCGATAACGCATTTCTCTCGGTTTTTATTGAGAGAATCACATACGGAGTAGTTGTCTTCATTATTATACATAGACTGGTGAATTGTTATGGGGATGACTGCTTAACAAATATATAGGAGAAAGCGGGGGTTGATCAGGCATACGTTGAGGAGGCCGCTAAGTGACATCGCGTACCAGTCGGTCGAGGAGAACCCCCGTGAAAAACGACGAGTGGGTGATATGGAAGAGATCGTTCGAGGAGGAGATGAGAGATTATGGTGTAGCTGCAGAGGATAGCAGAAAATGGAAGAAAGTGGATGTGTGTTGTTGAAGCCCTATGTTCCACTAGGAATCCAAGGGAATAATAATATATAATGCTATGGGGATTGCACCATTATATACTGTTCTGTGATGCGTGTAATTAACGATTATTTGTCTTCTTGATATAGTACACTTCCATGTGACGACAGAATTCATTCACCTGAATTCATATAGTTATGAGCAATAAATTGTGCTAAAAATGTTATCAGTGAAAAAAAAACCATATCACTGTTTTATCGGATAAAATTATTTTATGTTGCAATTATTATACTCTATCAGGGTTCAAATCGTGAGTCGGTGGCTCAGAGGTTTGAATGCTCGCCAGCCACTCAGGTGGCGCGGGATTCGATCCCCGGCCGACACGCTCCCATACCTCGCTTAGCTGGTAATAAGCTAGGCAAAGAGGGTTGGGTGTGAGACTAGCAGCCCCACCCTGTAAAAATAAACACTACCGCTGCGGAAACTTCAAGCCTCTTGCTTGAAGCCCTATGTTCCACTGGGAATAAAATAATAACTACATAAATGGTGTTAATAACACTAATTCATTCACTATTATGTATATGTAACTGTAGAACCTGATGATGAAGTTATCGGAAAGAATAGTCTTTGATCAGTAAACATTCTTTTGAAAAAATTTAATGGGCATTTTTAATCAAATAAAATACTGTCCAAATTCCGTTATTATTAATAAAATTTATGATCATTCTGCTAGGAAATTTATCAACAGAATCACACTAATTTCTCAAAATTCACGAATCAAGTAATAAATTAGCCTTGAAAGATTTTCTGTAAGTAGTATTGTATCAATGTGCGTTCCACTAAATAAAATTATTCTTTATAATAGGCCCTGATGATGCGATGTAGCTCGGACAAACCTCGCCAGAGAGAAAACAAAATCAGAAGAAATGAACACTGTAAAGCATCTGTTCGACCACTGAGACATCCAGTTAGTGAACTAGAAAAGCCTGAAAAATCATCTACACGCCTTAGCTGTAGGCCACAAAATTGATTTAAGACAATACTGAAATAGTAGAAAAAACCTCTAATATCATCAGAAGCACTTCATATCAAATGGAATCCAAATTGTCTGAATAGGAATAATGGACTAAAACAGAATTTCTGACATGGTTACAACTTCCCCATCTCACATGAAATGAAAAAATCAACACGAATGTGATAAACAATTTCATTAAGTAAACACACGCTGCTTTTTATAATTTTATGCGCTTATCAAATCCAACAATCTACACTTGGTTTTGTTATCTTTACTAATTGACCGACTTGACAACGCAAACAGAATTACCTCATGCTGATGAGGGATGATTAAGTTGTTGAACATAACCTGAGTGGATTTTGTAAATTCTGGTTTCATATATTACTGCTTTGATAAAGCTATTAGCAGCAGCGTTAAATAGCGAAACGTCAGTAAAAAAAGCAACTGTATTGTTTTGTTTTTCATTCATTGAGAAATACCTAAACTTTAAATAATAATAGGCCGTGAATTCGGAATGAAAATTCTGGGCTCCCTGGTATCTTGAAATGACTTTGGAACTGCAACACTCCAGATAATAAAATTAATTCAATTAAGCTTTAGAATCAAGTTATCTTTGTAAAATCATAATATTCATATACCTAAACACTATTTATTTATTTTCATTTAAAGAACATTTAACTGTACAGATGACACTTATTAATCCTATGCGTATTCCATTGGTCTTTACCAATGTACACTTATTATGGGTATTCACATTGGGGAGTAATTCACCTATAACAACAACAACAACAGCAACGCCACCGCCAACATCATATTCAACTGACGGTACTGTTGATAAATCTATTCTACAAAATCAACATTCCAATTCTACTACAGATAAATTAATCAGTATAACAAATGAAATCGTTAATCATTCCAATCAGTATTATCATCAACAGATACAACAACAATTACAATTAGTTAGTCAGTATGTTTCTAGTCAAATTCTTAATGAATTTATTATGCTGCCTGGTGAAAGAAAAAATGTAAGTTTTACCATGTGTTATCTCTCCTTTTTTTGACCCACAGTTGTTTGCATTCTATCTCCTGTGTTAACCGGTGAGGCGTCGAGTGTTAGGTAAGGATTAGTATAACCAAGTCACAGTAAGGTGGTGTAGAGTTACACATCGATCGATATATGGTTAGAACATGTGTTGCGCATTCCGAGCCACCACCTTCCCCGATGAGCAGTGCTATTTGACGCAGGATTAGGCTGGGAAAGTGGGCGATCAAATCAACAAATCAATCCATGAAGTCTTTGTGTGAATCAGCCACAAAAGGAGGAGGTGTAGGTTGCCTGGTTTGGCTCCCGGGGGGGGGGGGCGAAAAGAATCCCAATGACTGTATTGGTTGATGTGACTGGCGCAGATGCATTCTTTTTTCGATGTAGTTGTGTTCTCTAAGCTGGGTGGTTTATTTGCGAACCTTTCGTTGCCCTACCAGGCAACATCTTCAGCGCATACTTCAGTTTGATAAAGTGAGCTTTTAGATTTCTCCACGAGTTTATTAGGCATCTCTCCTGGTGGGTGTCCTTGAGCGTGATTGGTTGTTTTGTGTTTTCACACCTTCTAGGCTACTTGTATTAGAACTGATTGTTCCCTTGACTTGAACCTTGACCCTTTGTGTGTGAGATTTCCTTTTTATCGATCGGCAAATTTTCTCTACGTCAATGTGTCTACTGATTGACGATTCACTGGAATACCAGGCTTCTAATATTTGAACACTGGTTGTCCCAGCCGAATTGATGTCTGTGGTTGTCTGTATGTAGTGACAGGCAGTGGATGTCGTTTCTGTTGACGGGCGGCCAGTTTGTGTTCATGGATACGAAGAAGAAGGGGACGTCCACTTTGACCAATATAGTGTTTTTCGCGGTTGTTACAATTTATTTTGTAGATAATGTTGGTTTTATCTTCTTTCATTATTGAGTCTTTTGGATGACAATTAGCTGAGTGAAGTGATTTAGTTGGTTTGTGTGTGACGTCAATTTCTAAAGGTGTGAAGAGTGTTGCAGTGATTTCTGAGATGCATTCACTCCTTGTGGTTATCTTCCCCATCCATTCAATTCTCACACTTTTTGCTGCTACCACTCTTTCTCTGACTTGCATTTATACTTACTATATTTCGTTTGGATCACTTTGTGCTCTAAATGGAGTGTGGCAGCTTGTACTGCTGAACTTCTGTACAAACTTCTTTGTTGAAACTTATTGTATAACTAGCAGAATTTCTCCATTGCTTAAGCATTCTACTGATAGACTGACTGTCTGTTTATCATAATTTTTAAACTCCTCTAAGTGTTGATGAAACTATCATGATTTTCAGGTCATTATTAGTCAGTCAAACATTTCTCCATAAAATTTTGGTAATATTTCTTGTTTTCGGTTTAGTGCACAAGATGTAGCACTTAGTAGTGTCGTTATGAGTGTCTAAACTGTGTAATGGTGTGTGAGAAATTCTTCTTAGCTATTTGGTAACGTATGTTATCTTTAACACTGGCAAAATATCCAACTAATAAAGAAAATGTACCATGTGCTATGCAGTTGTTTTCCCTGCGTATTCAAGAACTTTCCACACGCATTGAACAACACATACGTCACAGCTTGATATACATTCTTGAGCTTGACGGCCACTGATTGTTATTATTATTATTATGACACCGTCACTTTTACTGTTTCCATTACTATTAATATGCTAGCATGTGAGTAGTCCACTCATCCGTGGCACAGCAGTTCGGGGTTCGATCCCCGGCAGCCGGCGCACTCCTAAACCTCGCTAAGCCGGTAGTACGACTGGTGAAGAGAGGAGGTTGGGCACGAGGCCAGCAACCCCATCCCGTATAAATAAATACCACTGCTACCTAAACTTCAAGCATCTAGCTTGAAGCCCTATGTCCCACTACGAACATAAAGGAATAAAAATAATATGAGTGATCCGGGTTCAATTTCTGGCTGATGCCCTCCTAATACCTCGCTTAGGAGGTAGTAAGCTTGAGAAAGAGGGAAGGTTGGGCTCCAGGTTAGCAACACCATCGTTATTAAACTTTTAAAACTTGAAGTCGTATGTCCCACTCGAAACGTAGAGAATGACAACAAAACAGTATTATTCCCCAGCTGTGTTCAGTTTGCGGAGGTTTGGCTAATTTCAGTGTAGATGTCATTATGAGAAGACATCAACTGGAGAACAAGTGAAAACTAGCTGTTTTATCCTGGTGTCGGACTGTTCAGTATTGTGCAATTTCCTTTCGGCAGATATTGGAACTCGGGTTGAAGTCTGACAACCTGTTGTATGTTACTTCTTTCACTATGTGGTATATGTATTCTCTTATTTTATTCCTTTGCACTCCCAGTGGAACATAAGGGGGCTTCAAGCTTGAGCTTTGAAGTTTCAATAGGAGTAGTGTTTTTTACAGGGGGTTGGGTTGCTTGGCTTACGCCCAACCTTCCCTATCTTTATCGATCTTACAACCGGCTAGTGGAGGTAGAGATGTGCGCTGGCGGGGAATCGAACCCAAGGACCACATGCATGGTGGGCGACAGCATCCTACGAATGAGCCGCCGACGCACTATGCAACCTAGCATCATTGATATCCAACGTTATACTTTCTGGTCTGTCTTCATATTCGACTTGTTGGGCGTCTCTTATTGAAGATCCAGGAATGTTATATCGAGTCTGAATTATAATTCAAATGTTGCCATTCTGAAAAAGTGAATAACGGATAGTGTGTTGTGTAGTTTCTTAAACTAGCTGATTTCGGTTCGCAATTACGATTACTGTTATCATAATGAAATCAGTATTTAATGTAAAGTTTTTTTTCAAGGTGTATTTTTTAAAATCTATGATGTGTGCGTTTTGTTGTTTATAGTTGTGTAGTGTGTGTTTAGCATTCGTACAGAGATTTATCGTTGTATTTAACGTTTTCCTAAATGCTTATGGGAAAATTGTGTCACGATCAGTCCTTAAGATGACTAGGTGAACAATACACCTTTGTATGTGTGTGTGCGTGCGTGCGTGTTTAGTTATAACTCGTACTGGATAGAAGAATAGAAATAGAGCAGTGGTGAAGAGTATAATTCCATCACAAAATGACTTTATTTAATGAGAACACACTGTGATAAAGTTTTTGAATGAGTTGTGTTCTCTGAGCTGGTTGATTCAATTGCGATGTGTACGTCGTCCTTCTAGACAACATCTTTCTTCAGCGCAGGTTTTAGTATGAAATCAACTTATTTGAATTCTCCATGAAGGAAAGAATGGACATCTTCACAATCTCATCAGAATGTGTTTAAACTTCAGTCATAACACCAACAACGTGAAACCCATCATCAAAGACTACAAGAAAATTCATTCTATCATATATTAAAAAATATTTTTGAAATAACAGCTACAATATTAAGACTGTTTGAAATAGATATAGCACACAAGCCAGACAGCACAACCATCACTTCATTCGATATTGTGCAAACCAAAACAGACAACAGGAAAAGAAGATAAAATTAGTACCATTTACGAATTAAATTGCATACATGAACTGCAATAAACATTACATCAGTCATAGTGGGCTTCACCCCTTCTTCGAATCAGAATCCAAGAACACTAATTAGCTGTAAAAGGTCATGATATATATTTTTTCATATCAATAAATGTAGATAATTATGGACGTCAATTTCATTGGGATAATGTAGAAATTTTAAATGGAGGGAACACCACAAATACAGTCAGGGAATTTCTGGGAGTGTGGTTGGTACTCAAGTGAATCAAGCAGCCAGCGATTAACAAACAGACCAAATTTACCAGCTGCCAATAAAATGTGAATCATATGACAAGAATGTTCAAATTCCAAGTCAATAAAGATGATCAATAGAGAGGACAATGGTTGCCAGGAGATACAGTTATATCTTCATTCGTGGAGAACTCGACTAAGTTGATTTCATACTAAGACCTGAGCTGAAGGAAGCCTGTTGTCTAGAAGTACAACGAAAGCTTCACAATTAAATCAACGAGCTCAAAGGACACAGCTTATTCAAAATCATCCACCTGAGGTACATGGTTTTATCAAATAAAACTATCTCATGATGAATTGTAACTCCTTATTTTTGATTTGAATTCTGAAGGTAATATTTTATTCAGAAAGACAGTTTATGCATCTAAACCTTGAATAACCGATTATTACGGAACAGTACTTTTATGAATGACCAGTAACAACGTCCTGTTCGTATGCTTGAACTATTTTGAAATCTTTGTTTAAGTGAATTGGTTTTACTGGATTGAAATATATTCGGTGTCTATTGATGCATTAACTTTGTGTAACCCAAGTGACTTTTGACGTGTGAAACAATGGATGGCAGGTTCAAGCGTCATTGAGACAACGGCCACTCACTGACTAGTTTAAAATATAGGACGAGACGCTCATTGCAATCCTACTTGCCATCCACCATATACTATTGTTATTTCCTTCTCCACAGCCTAACTCTGCTAACGTTTTGTTTATTTTATAAATTTCACATCTAGCTTCAGCTGAGTTTGGTTGCTAAACAAATGGGTCAAATCACTATAACTGGTCTTGGATTTGAATGGAGTTATTTATCACCTCATCAAAGTAATTCAGACAGTAATCAACAACAGCAACACTCACAATTGAATCATGTTGTCAGTTTATCATCACAAAATGGATCAATACCTAATTCGTATTCTCCAACTAATCAAGTAGCATACAATTCACCTTTACAGAACAATTTATCTATAGATAAAAGTTTGACAAAGGCAAATACTGTCTCTGAGACAATGATGATGATGACGAATTATACTAATTCTACACTGCCATTACAGTCCAATCAATCCAGTAATATGCTTACTAAAAATCTCTCTAATACTACTACTACTATTACTCCTACTGCGGCTGCTACGCCTACTGGTGAACGTAATTCTGTTAAAGGGAAAATTTTATTTAACAAGAAGCAAGTTGATAATAAAAATAGATCTCCAATTAAACTGCCATTGAATTGGTCAGTAACACATCCAGCTCCTGCATTAAGAGTAAGTAGGACTATTTAAATTTGTAGCGTTTTATTTCACATTTTCGGTGTATAGGGACCTGATTAGCTTCTTTTGTACATTTTTATTATTTTGACGAACTAAACATACATCAGTTGGAGAATTAGTGAAAATCAAGCGCCACTGTTTCTTCCTAGTTGGGGGGGGGGTGTGGGTTTGGAGTCATTGAGCAATAGACAGCGATGACATCCAACAGGGATCGGTGCCATCAACTTCTTGTTTTCTAACTTCTCTTCGAAACTGTACAGTTATTTCGGGAGGTGAGGGGGGTTGTTTTCTTTGCGTACAATGTTAATTGACAAGAAAGGTTAGGGGTTATTGTAAATTAGTAACAAGAATAAGTTATAGTGTATGAGAAGAAATAATACTGTGGAAAAGATGGTTCCGTTGTGGATAAAATGTACTATGATGAAGTCCCACAGTGTAGTGATATACAGTAATATTTACTGATGACCACATGTCTAGCAAAATTTATTGTTGCTAATATTCATATCAAGGCAATACTCGCACAACTTTCTTCCTTCATTTATATGCATGAGTAAAATTAGTGACTAAACGTTTGAATAAAGTCAATATAAGATAAGGTACATTCGGAAATAATCTTAGTGTTATCAATAAAATACAATAAGATGGGAAATAAGATGTTTTACAGTAAAAATAAGTCACTTGATAGAATGTTATAAGGTATATGAATTGAATACATTTTAACATTATTTATTATCCTCCTCTGATTTGACTGGTGGTAATAATATCTTCCACAAGCCTGGTATTTGTGTTGAGTCATTTCTGTTGCATGTATTGAGTGTAGACTCAATGAACCAGGATTCAGCAATCAGTCTCTCTCTCTCCACCTACCTATATTACTTGTTAGAATTTTGACTCTATCCCACCCACTCTATTGTGTGTTTATGTGTGAATGCATGTAGTGCTATTGCTGAGTTTTTTTCTAAATGACATATCTTCGTGAGATCAATCATTCTAACCTTAGCTAAATTCTTATGTTTTGACAGTCTGGCTTCCCGAGATCTACTGGATTGACGTATGTCGGTTAAAGGAGCCTGTTGACCCGATTAGACAAAATAATATAATTTACAAAATACCATGCAATGACTGTGAGTTAAGTCAACTACATACGTCACACCAAAAGTATATCAAGAGTAGTCAGATTGTCAGAACATAAGAATTTAGCTACCGTTACAATGATTGATCCCACGAAGATAAGTAATTTAGAAAAAACCTCAGCAATAGCACTACATGCATTATCACACAACCACACAATAGAATGGTGGATGGGACAGAGTCGAAATTCTAAAGATTATTGTAGGTAGGTGGAGAGAAAAATTGATTACTGAATCCTGGTTCATCGAGTCTACACCGAATACGTGCAATAGGAATGACTCATCACTAATACCAGAAATATGGAAAATATCACTACCAATTGAAACAACTGATGAGAAGCAATGGAATCATATAAATGAAGTTGGAAAGTTGTGTGAGTATTGCCTTGATGTGATTATGAGGAATAATGAATTGTGCTCGAAACGTGGTCATCAGTAAATATTACTGTATAGCACTATGAGACTGTGAAACATGGTAAATACTCTTACATATTCGATCAAGTTGAATATTCACCACTTCTAATTAATTGATAGGAAACAAGACAACAAAGAATTGAAAATGGATCATAAACTCAAGGGAAATACAACTAAAGTAGTTCTGTGAAGCTGTCTGGTCAAAGCGATTCGAAAAATTTCTTTTTTGTACATCTCCACACCTGACTGCGCCACATAGTGTTATCCACTAAAGCGTCAAAAATGGTATTCCACTGTTGACAACTTTGGTGGTGGTTTGCAGTTAATCAGATGGTCATCAGAGTTAAATATATTGACCTCTTTTCTAGTCTGGCAGCCACTCTATTCGTACTATGATATCATCATCACTGTTTCTATTGCCTTGTAATTCTGGTGTTATTTAAAACTTGTGAGTTATGCATGTACTTCATAGCTTCGTATCTCAAAGAGTAGTGGTGGTCTGCTTAAAACTTGGGCCACCGAAAACCTCCATCAGTGTACTGCATATAGTTTCTTCTGTTCTGTTTGTTTAAATCTATTAAATTATGATTTCCAATAGTAATAACTGTTCACTCTGGCAAGTATTTCAAACATCTACGACCTGGTGATTTGCAATTTTCTGCTAAACATGAGGAGAAGCATTACCCTCGATGGCAGCTTATCCCAGTGTATATAAGATGATTGTTCCTGAGTGGTGTCAATGATTTATAATTAACATTCAGCCAAATTTCGTGTGTTTCTTGATAGAGGAAAAGAAGAGACATTATAATGGATTGATTTATGCTTTAGGTCAGCCGGAACTGTGTCACACGATCTACTGTCGATTATTCTTTTTTGTTTGAAGATCATGGACGAATATAAAATGTTATGCAATTAGCTCCGCATCGTTGGCACAACGGTAGAATGCTCGCCGGTCACGCACGTGGTCCAGGATTCGGTCCCTGGACACCGACACACTCCTTTACGTCGCTAATCCAGTAATAAGACTGGTAAAGAGGGAGGCTTGAGTCTAGCAACCCCATCCCGTAAGAAATAAACACCACTGCTACCGAAACTTCAAGTCTCTGGCTTGAAGCCCTATGTTACACTGGGAACGTAAAGAAATAAAATAAATATTGTTTCAGAATAAAGCGGTTCCTATTGTTATTATTATTAGATATAAATCAATAAGAACTAATTTTTCTGTATTTATCCTTCATTTTAATTGAATTGTAACTATGTGGAATTAATTTCTCATCTTTTCAATGTTGTCCTTCCTTATGTGAAGGTATTTTTCAGCTCATTTCCGAATCAACTCTACGAAGGTGAAATCTGTTGTATTCAAATATCATTAACAAATAGTGGCTTAATACCATTGACAAATTTACGTGTTGCATCAATTTGGCCAGGTTTATTTGCATTCGGGTCAATAACTCCAACAACAACAACAACAAAAGTCTTTGATGGTTCCAATGAGCCTGTTCAATACTTTTCAGTTCAAGTAAGTCAAAATACTGGATTATTACTCAGGAGGGATACCTCAGACTTCTAGTGAGAAGTCATGATTGATGGCGTCCACTAGTGATAAAATTTGACGATTACACTTATATCATTCGTTGCTAGAAGCTTAGAGATATGCATCATGGAGTTTAGAATAACTCAGTTGCTTACTGAGTGTCATAATTGATGGTGTTTTGGTTGATTTCTCACAGGGTTCTACTGTCACAGAAGCTACAGTTACCAAACAGCCTCCGACTGTTGTTACTTTGTAAGCATCTTTTTTGAAATCCTTGTAACACCAACTGTCTTCATTTCGACATCTGGCAACCTACTCCTATTTTTTTGCAAGTAAATTGTATATATTTTCTTTTTCAATGGGTAATTGGTCGTCTATTGATTGGTCACTAGGGTGTAACCAATGTCGTGCGTGCCTTATCATTGGTGGTGGTGCAGACAGACTAGATTCCATCAGTCATCAAGCTAGGTGACTCGCCATCGTGATGATTTCTGAATTGATGTTGCATGATTGAAGAAGGAATCTACAGCAAGCCTTGGACCCGCGTTTCGTGGCACTCGTCACAGATGCGTATGTACAATTTTGAAGGAACCCATGTTCCCTTTGACATATTGACTTTGTTATTTAAACCCTTATGAAGTAACTCACCTGGTTTTCTGATCGTCCCCTCTTCGCAAAACCCGTTATAATTTATTTGTTTGATTTCACATCATTTACTTATTTTTTTTTTTTTTTTTTTTGGTTACTTGAATTCATTTTAGCCTCTAAAACCTTGGATTGACATTCCATGCAATAGCTCCACTTTGAGCAGTAAAACTGACAACCCGCCGCTTCTTCTGATGCCGGGTACAACTATTTCACAAACATTATGGTTACGTGGTCCACACTTAACATATCCATCTTCGCGTAGAGCGCATAAAGAGTCACTAGCATATCGTCCTACTACTGCTGCTGCTACTACTACTGCTGTCTACGGATCATCCTCAATAAAATCAATTGGCTCTTCTAACACCAGTGTTAGCAGTGGTTATAGTTCAGTTAGTGGCGTCAGTGGTTCTGCAAATACTTCTGTATCTGCTAGTCCACCACCGCCAGCTCCACTGCTACCTCCTCCTCCTCCTCTTGCGAGTACTAGTGTTATGCTTGTACCGCATACACAGTATAAAACTGTACAAGTAGTCTTCCAATATGAATCTTCTAATAGACTATTGACAAATCAATCTCAACCAATAGAACAGTCAAAACAGTTGATTCCTGGGTAAATCTTTTTTTGTTTTTTCTACGTTTATTTATGATTATTATTTTAATTTGAATATTTCTGTTGATCATGATATATATATATATATATATCAGGTGCGTCGGTGGCATAACGGTTAGGACGCTCGCCGACCATGCACATGGTCCGGGGTTCGATCCCCGGCCGACGCATTCCTTTACCTCAATAAGCCAAAAATAATGCTGGTGAAGCGGAAAGGTTGGGCATGAGGCTAGCGACCTCATCCTGTAAAATAAACACTGCTGCAGAAACTTCAAGCCACTAGCTTGAAGCCCTATGTTCCACTGGGGAACGTGAAGGAAAATATATATATATATATATCAGGGATAACCGTAAGATAATATACAAGACTAGAAGACATGAATGTGGTGTCAACCATGAAAGGAAGATCTACTGACGACTGTAATAGTTTTAGTCAATTTATTTTCTTTTTTGAAAGTTTTCTTTTTACTGATTGTTGGTCAAAATGCTTGTTATGTTAGTTGTGCCGCTGTTTTCAAGCTTGGACAGAGCTTTTGAAATTAGTCTAAATTGTCACCTTCAGTGTTGCTGTACAAGGAAATTATTTCGGTACACTTCCATGAATTCAAATATGTGCAAAACTTGGGGACTGTGGTAGTATGTAATCCCATATAAATTCGTCTATTAGATATATATCACACTGTCTGGGAAACAGTATTATTTACTGGATGCCTGTCTGTCTGTTTTCAACATAGAACTTCGCACCGACATGCAGCAGTTCAAGTCGCCACACTCCCTGTAGCACACAAAGCAAGAGAAGAAAGTAGAAGAAATGCATAATATAGACACTACTGACACACTTGCTGGCTTCGTGAGGTTAAGTGAATAACCACACTCGGATCTTGTATGCGTGTCTCCGAAACACAATATACATCCATGGCTCGAGATGCCAGAGTTTTTGTTGGTGATGCCTGTTGTCCGATTTGGCAGAGGGTCCTGACGTTAAATGCTCCTATATGAATTCGGCGACGTGGCTTTAAGAGGCTGTCGGGAGTGTTTCTATGACTCTCATCGTTGTTTGTGGTCACAGAGTAAAGTGAAGATGTCTCACTACCCTGAAGAATAGTACTAAGGAGGATGATGGTCGGGGAAGCTTCGTGTGCTCTCGGAAGTGTGTGGGCGGTTTTTACTTCCTGGTCGCCCGCACCGTGGAAGGTGATTGAATCTTCGGGTACCTGAAACAGAAAGAGGGTTAGTGTTGCGTGACCGCAGAGCTCAGGGGACAACTGCTTGAGGCCGGTTGCACATGGCCTGTATAAACTGGTTTTTGGAATTGGTTCCGTATTAGTAAACTTGCCGCCGGTTGCGGACCACCGTAGGGTAAATCGGGATGTACAATTGTTGTGGCCGACCTTTCCTAACCCCCTCACACCATAGTGAAGTGGCAGCATAGCTGTTATGCTGGTCATCTAAGGCAAACACCTTACTGCTGTTACATCCCTATTCCCCAGCAGTACAACTTTGCTCACAGACCCCTAGCACAGTGTAAAGAAAATTCTTACACAATGCCGGTAACTGCTTTTAGTCTAATCACTATCCTAACAACCTTCCTGGCATGGTAGGACCTGCAAAAACAATAGTTCCAGCTAGTGGAGCTTGTTGGATCATTACGATGTGCAAACCCGACCACCACGTCAATGTAGCAGCTATCGATCGGGACATAAATTCTAACTTCTACCGATTCGTGATATTTAGCTCGACCACCAACCAATGTCATTGGCGGGAAATCCATCCTCACACTTGACTGGATGAACCTCACTGGTCACGACTTCTCATTAGAACTATAGGAAACTCCGTCCTGCAGCAAGTCACTGCCGAGCATCAGATTACTTTTCTATAGTTGATTTGTAATTATTAAGTTTGTTTGTTTCTCGAATGGCTAAATGGTATACGAACTTGCATTGTAACTGGAAGCTCCTGGGTTCGAACTCCAGTGGTTGCGTACCGCCAATGATTCCCAAAGTGGGATGAAACAGCCGTGAAATAATAATTCTGTTAATTACAAAAATTAAAAAAGGTGGAGTAATTTATAATGAGAAGGATAAGGAAAAGTGGTAGTATATAGAGGCCAAGAAAGACGAATAGATTAAATAATGCCAGATTGTAAAGGAAGTGGATAAACTATGTTTTTATGAAAGTACAATAAGACTAAGGGTTGTTAAGAAAGGGATTACATATTATGTAAGAGTCGTAGTAGGTGATGTCGTCAGTTGGCTATATCCTAACTAACCAAGAGGGCGATAATGACTATATGGAGTTCTGAATGCATAGTTTTTACGCCCCATAGTTTGAATGTTAATCACCTCTGCTATATACCGTAGACGAATACACGGAGATCACTCGGGGGGGGGGGAAGATTCCGTTGGATGTAATGAATCACTTCGAGTGCTTTCTTTATCACTGAATGACCGCTTAACACTAGATGTGACAAAATGGATCTAAGGACTGATATTACTGTTAATACACTTTATGTTGCCCCAACAAATTTCCTATCTAGTCGATTTAATAGCCTATTGTTCTAACCAATATTAGCAACAACACGATATGATACCACCGATAATCCCCACGCAAGAACTGAAGACAGACGTGGAGAGCTTTTGCCGTATCGTCTCAACAGTGAAAATGATTGACAGAGCTCGCGTAAATATATATGCCTCAAATGACCATGAGGGACACTAATCACATTGATAAATGAAAACAGTCAACAACCAATAGGATTTCTAGGTCATAGGTGGGGTGAGAGAAATACAAGCAGATATGTAAAAATGACACATAGAAGATTAGGTCTCTATTTCACGGACGATGGCAATATGTCCCTTAAATAAATTTCTTGGTCTCAGTTGTATGCCACTTTTTTATTTTCTGTTGTTTTCTTTTCTTGTTTTGTTTACTTTTCTGAATAAATAAAAGCTGTCGTTATGTTCGTCACCGTTGTGAAATGGAATTGAAACCCTCATTACATTTTCAAGCGATAGCGAACTGTTTAAATTCAACCGATATCAATAATCTCTTGATTACTGTACAAATTACAAATGTTGTCAATTCAGCTGTAAGTATGGTGTTTAAATATTATTACTATTATAATACTTCATAATATTGGTTGATTTCATTGACATACGATGCAGTATTATTCATTTTACCGCATACATATGCCATTCTGTAATGCTTCGAAACGAGATGTGTAGGTATGGTTTAACTGTGACTGTTATTTAATTAATCTGTTCTTTCAGTGTTAGCTGCTAGTGTAGATGTTGTCAGACTGCATACTCTCTATATGTCAACTCATATTCACTGTTTCATCTCGAAAGTTGGACAAGGTATATTGAATATTTGATAGGTGATGTGTAACGCATCTGCTTCGATCACAGTAACGTGATCTACTTTGGAGGACCCGATTAGTCGTTTCACTTATATGTGTCTCAAATTTGATTTGTGTTTCTTATCATCATTTCACCAAGTGGTCATCAAAAGGTGTTGCAAACAACTTTCTTTCTAAATTGATATTCCTTTTCAGGAATTCTGCTTTCAGGTTTTGGTGTAGGTATCCTGGTATCCTCTTCAGAAACATGATCTCTCTCAGTGGACGGACGCCAGTCACAACTTCAACGGTTAATAAACCACCTCAGGTGGTCGGAGTCCATGGAGATATATATTTCATCACATTTGTAACTACCTTGCCGGTGAAAACGCTAATATGTTTTCAGAACTTTCGTTACCAATCATTTCTCATCGATACTTATTTCAAGAGCTTCATTCCATCTGATTTATTCTTTATCATCCTTTCTTTCGCTGTTTATTCGAAATCTCGAAATCCAAAGATTTCACCAGTGGACTCTTCAGGTGAATCCATCAGGCGACATTAATTTTCCCTGTCGCTTGAATTTTAGTTGCTCCTTAAAAGTCCTTGATTAGTGTGAGTAACATGTTCAGTGCAAAAAGAATCAGGCAATCTCTTTGATGTTGTTGCTGTGTACCGTATCAAAAATTTTCTTTCCTCTCTCCACATAAGTACTTTTCAAGTTGAAAGATGACCAGTTCATTGAGATTTGGGAAGCAGTCACTTTTCATTAAATTATTGAATCTCTGATGTGATATTGTAATGCTGCTTGATGGGATTAGTCAATGACAATTTCGTTTCATTCTTTTCTGCGTTTTCAGCGGAATAAAGGGCTTCAAGGCTGAGCTATGTACTTTTAATAGCTGTGATTATCTTTTCTTATGGTGTGAGGTTGTTAGCCTCACGCTCAACCTTCCTTTCTATTGGATTACTACCAGCTAAACGAGATTTATGAGTGTGGGCCGGCAACCGAACTCTGGTTACGTGCGTAACTGAAAAGCATTCTACCACTAAATATGATTGACTGCCTGACTAGTTTCAACACAGAACTCTGCAGCAGTTCCAGTTGCCACACTCCATGAAACACAGGGAGCAAGAGAAGAAATGAAACAGACGTTCAAAAGACAGACACAGTTAATACACAGAAGTGTACTTGAGGGGAAAAAAAGAGTAATATGGAAGAACAATAGAGTTTCATTGGATATGATCAATCACAAAGAGTGGATGCATCTGAGCCAGCCATTGAAAACGACGATTCTGAGCTAGCCATGTCACCAACTGTTTCCAGCCTTCACTGGTTCTTACCATCCCGAAGAACCTAACCAACCGGGAAGTCTACAGCTTCCTACGTAGCTGGCTGGCTAGCGTGAACTAACTGCTGTAGATTTCAGTCCATGCTTAGGGATGCATGTGTAACACATGTCCTAACCATCTTTCTCAATCGATGCACCTACTTCACAACCACTTCGATTGATTTCCACTCCTTACCTAGTACTCACTCGATGCCTCACCTTAATATTGCTCACCCTATTATGCCACCTAACACACATGAGAGATACAACGCAGATACCTATGATCAAAGTCAGCTAACCAGGCTTTTCATATCTCCCACTTTCTCATAGCCATAAAGGATGACTGAACTCAACCACCGACATTACTAGAATATTTCCTTTTGATCTGTTCTCATCACATTTATGCATTTCTTTTCTGTTTGACTCTAATTCTTCAGGTGCCTGTAACCTTCCAAATAATGCAAATTTTATGCATTAGTCGTTACTGGACTATAAAACCGATCGAAGCTGACGCTAATATTGGTAAGCTTGTATAGCTTTTTATTTTTTTTATCAGCCTGCTCATCGACTATAGTAAAATAGATAAGCGAGATAATTTATGCATGTTTAAAACATCTATATGGCAAATACCAGACTGAAGCCGATTTTTAATGCACCTCATACATCGCGAATGTTTCTCACCATTTTCCCCACCTTGGAAACAAAATCCTTTCTAAAGCCTATAGTTACTTCTACTGGGAAAAGTCAATAAGACCGTAAATTACAACTTATTGTCTACCAACATCACATGACCAATAAATTGTAAGTATAGGATATCAAAAACTACTATGTTCCGACTAGATATCACATACCAATAATTACGTGACGTTTCGGCTATGTGGAATTTCTCGTTTATGGATTACTCTATTCATAAAAGTGTTTCATATAATCTTAGTTGTTGTAATACTGTGAAATAAACAGACACAGATCAGTGTGAAAACCTTCAGAATTTTTTTTACACTTTAATGCACCATGCGGCGATTAGATTTTCCTTAATGGTGTACAATGGTTTAAATTGTCACACACGCACACACACAAATTACCGTACAAAGAAACGGATTAAGTAAGGTATAAAGTGATATTTTAGTGAAAAAAGTGCTACCTTGGTAAAATAACATAAAAACACGGACCAAGGATCTTAACATGTGCGCGAGTCATTGGACCTTACGAAACCCAAAGGCGCAGTGAAGGTAAAGGTTTGGCTTGTCCAGGCTGAGGTGAGCTCCTGTTGTTTTGCTCATTAATTCCAAGCTGCGAGCAGCAGGCGCATCACCGACCCGTCCCATGACGTAGACATGTGGCATTGTGCTATGTGTACCGTCGGGGCGGAGTAAGAGCGTACATGTTGAGACCCGAAAGATGGTGAACTATGCTTGCGAAGGTTGAAGCCAGAGGAAACTCTGGTGGAGGACCGTAGCAATTCTGACGTGCAAATTGATCGTATAACGTGAGTATAGGGGCGAAAGACTAATCGAACCATCTAGTAGCTGGTTCCCTCAGAATAGCTGGCATTCTGAGATATAAACAGTTTTATCCGGTAAAGCGAATGATTAGAGGCATTGGGGAGAAAACATCCTCAACCTATTCTGAAACTTTAAATGGGTGAGAAGCTTAACTCGCTTAAATGGAGTTTTGCATTGAATGTGAGTGCCAAGTGGGCCATTTTCGGTAAGCAGAACTGGCGCTGTGGGATGAACCAAACGTGTGGTTAAGGTACCTAACGCGATGCTCATGAGATACCACAAAAGGATTAATATAATGATGAATAAATCTGCGTCATTACTGTAGGTTTTTGTTTTGACTATTCTCACTTGCTGACTGCTTGAGGTTCCAGACAGAAAACTTTGCAGGGAAGTGCAGAAGTTCCAGCAGCTACACTCCATGTAGCATAAATGTGCGAAAGAAAGAATAATCACACAGAAAGACATTATGGTTTAAGCAATGTAGGAGATCATAAATGATGAATGCATCTGCCTCAATGATAACGACTTTGAACCTCATCACCAATAGTCATTAGTTATTGCTTCTTAGCATCTCGAGAACCTTAACCAGGCGGTCTACAACCGTCTAACGTGGTTGACTTACACACCAATTGGCAATAACTTGACTGACCGATGCTGAAACTCTATCGTTTTTCCATATCACCCTTCTTTTTCCCTCATGCACACTTCCGTTTATTATCTCTCTTTCCTTATCTGTTTTGAATTTATCTGTACTCTCTTCTCTTGCTTTGTGTGCTACAAGAAAGGAGTGCGGCAATTGAAACTGCTACACATCTGTGCAAATTTCTATTTTGAAAGCTCTCTGTCAGCCAAGAGTATGCCAAACCTCAATATTGTTCACCAAACTACATACCACTGAATACGGGAAATAGACTGCAAACATATTTGGGCAAATCCTTATCTTCTTCTTTCGGTAATTGTAACTCACAGCCATAAAGAAGGACAAAACGAAGTGCTGCATAGTGCATATGTCGTTTGATCCATAGTCGGCTATCAAGTATTCCCACTTGCAATTTTCACCTTTCGTGTTCAAAAGTCTTGTAAACCTCAACTAGGTATTCTACAGCCCTCTTTGCTATTGAATTCAAAAATAAATGACTACATTTAATCTTTTTTGTTCTTAGCTTACTTCTACTTCACTTAAGTATAGCAGTCGTTCTCATGGATGTGTTCTTTTTTTAATTTCTTGACAGTAATTCCTTTGAAGTTCAAACTGGGCACTCATCGTATCAAATGCATGTTACCTTAATGAATGCTATGCTGAAAAATAAACCTCGTCGCTTCTATTCGAATGATTTTATTTGTTATATTTTGCACGTGTAATTGCGCGTGGTATTAACTCTAGAAAATGGTCGTGTTTCCAAGTATAGACATTAGCCATAAAACTATTAAAATCGATGAGTAATCTTATCACTGTTGTGAGTGTTATTCGGATGGCTGCTTGTTATCTTGCTTCAAATTAGATAGTGGACATGATTTTTAGATGTATACTCAGAGTCCCGACTTCAGGTTTTGAATAATTTCCGATTTAGTGAAAGTTCTTGTTGTTGTTGTACTGGTGTTGGTGGTTTGCATACATATGCTCGGAGTTATTCTTTCATGTACTACTCCACACTCATTTAGTGTGAGGACTGATGATACTCCCGAGTCACTGAGAGGCTGGGACAGATAACTTCCCACTCAAGTTTCAAGAAAGTCGTCCCGCGGTCAACTGTTTGTGATTACCTAATTTTCAAGTGTTGGTTCCCAGAGATTTCTTCGATTTGAAGTTAGGTTACGAGATGATATCATTTAGTCGACCTTTATTAGCGAAGATGTTAACGGGCTAGCCTCCTAACATAAAGCCGCTGAGTTCGATCACCGATGGTGTTGTCATGCGTGTGAACATTGCTGAAGGGCGAGTCAGATGTCGAATACTCCCTAGTTTCCAGGTCGAATATTTCAGACTAAGGTACTTTTCAGTTTTCTGTCAAGCTCTCTTTCTTTCTCTGTCTATTTAACACTTTTATGTGAGTTATTTTACATAGAATTATAAAAATATATTTATAATATTTCTATCTTTTCTGTCTGTATTGAAGGCATTACTCCTCGCCTACAAACAGGAGAGGTTATATCTCTACATTTTAAGGCCACTCCAGTGAAAATTGATTCCACATATGCAAATGGAAAAGAAAAGCAAGAGCAACATGGCAGCAATGATTCATTGAGGAAATATCTATCCCATATTCATTTCAACCATGATTTTAATCAATCGAACAGTGTGCAACAACAAAATGGGGCATTTCTTCCACAAACTACTCACGATTTGCAAAATTCAGTGGTGTCACCACAATCCCAGGCAATATTACCACATCAGTTGGAGTTCTTCTGTCGGTCTGGTATAAATTGGTGTACCTCATCTGTAAGTTTTTTTCAAGATCGATTGACATGTGTCTAGTGTGTAATGAGTTAGTTACTAATTTCTATTTCAGTAGTTCAACTAGTTAAGATAAATTTCTAAGATCATTAAGTGTAGATCGAATGTTTTTTTTTTCGAGAATTTCCAGTCTCTTGCATAGTATAATTGTAGCTCAAACTTTATACTTATATGTACACTAGCATCAGCGGTTTCAGCCTTTCAACACGGGATATACAAGGAACTAGGATCATAGTTCAAAGAAACACTGGTAACTATTGAAACTGGACAAGTGTTTCATTCTGATTCTGACTCGTTAACATCGAACCTAGAGTCATTGAGTTACAATGACGTGCAGTCATCATTGTCCAGTCTTAGTTTAGAAAATTCTATTATGTGAATTTTTTCAACTCATGAAATGACATAGCCATTATATGTACTTTCACAATTTTTTAATTATCAAATTCTTTGAGATTAAAAGTGTTTCGACTGTTGTTTCCCTGTTTTCTTTTCTAGATTAAATCAAATGTATCGGATCTGAATACAGATTATTGTATATCACCTTTGGATATCAATCTGATTATAACATGGAAGGTAAAAATTCTTATTAGCACTATTATTTTTCTTTGGTATTGCGTTTATCTAACATTATATTTCCCGTGTTAGGTAGAATATTTTAATAATAATAATAATTTGCTTTATTCCAAAAACAGTACTAGTGGTACAGTGTGGAATTTTCAGCACATATCTACAATATTTCCATCTAATTTTATCGAACATTTAAAAGGAGTATTTCAAAAAATAAATACAAAGACAACAACGACAAAAAAACACAAAAATAATTTAAAAAATGCGAAAAAATACCAAGAAGTAAAAAGGAAAATAAACAGCATCTAATAATATCTCAGTATTGGGTAGTGGAAGCTACGATATTATTATGCATGGTGACAGTAAAGCTGTAGTCATAGAAGAAGTTATGAAATGATATTTAAGAATGTTTATCGTTAAGATGGTCAGTTAATTTGGTTGAAACAACTCTAAACACTCATAAAATAACATTTCACGGTTATTGTTTTGTTTTTTATTGTCAGGTCTAATGTAGTGTTTGTAGTAGTAGTGTGAGTAATCCTGCATAATACAAAATTTTAAGATGGTGATAATGGCTTTCACAACCAAGATTGTCAGTTAATATTGCCGAGAAAAATAAAAAATATGAAAAAACAACCACAAAAAGTAATAATCACATGATGGTTAATGACAGGATAATTTTGTAATACTCATAGTGCTAATATAGTCGAAACCAGTAGATACACAGTAGAAGGAATACAGTAAAGTACAAAAAGTAAGCCAATGTTAATAATTTAGGTAGCTAAGTATGTTTAAGAAGGAGTTCACTATACAATACAAAATAAGAGAGAAATAAAAGAGCCTAAAATTATGTTATTAACAACAAAGTAAGTCATAGGTTTCGCGCTTAACATTGTCTCTTTCGCTTAGAACACGGGCCAAGTATGGTATCGTTGAGTTCCTGTACTTGGTTGTACGAGCATAGATTATTTTATATTGATTTCTGGTTCTTGTTGGTGATTCTTTCCGGCCATCTAATCTTGAGTATAGAATGAAGACAGCCGTTGATAAAGGTCTGCAACTTGTTGGAAACATTCTTTGTGACCCGCCAGGTTTCTGATCCGTATAGAAGAACTGACTTGACGTTTGTATTGAAAATCCGAATCATTTTGTTGTTGATGCTGAGTGACGAAGATTTCCAGATTGGTTTTAGGTTGATGAATGTGATTCTCGCATTCCCGATTCTCGATTTGACATCCTCGTCCGTTCCTCCTGTAGTTGACACAATGCTCCCTAGATAAGTGAAAGAAGTAAACTCTTTCAAATCCCTCCCGTTGATGGTGATTGGTGTTGGATGTAGCTGCTGTTGTTGTTGTTGTTGGTTGTTTATTTTCATAACCTCCGTCTTGTCTATGTTCACCTGCAGTCCTGTTTTTGCTGCTTCTTCGACCAGTTTGTCGGTTTTCGCTTGTAAGTGTTCGATTTTGTGTGACATCAAACATAAATCATCCGCGAAATCTAGGTCTTCTAGGTTCTTCACGTCGGTCCAGGATATCCCTGTCTTCTCGTTTCCCACTGTCTGACGCATAATCCAGTCCACCACAATTAGGAATATCATTGGTGATAATAAGCACCCTTGTCTGACTCCTGTGTTTACTCCAAACGCTTCGCTGAGTTTTCCGTTGTGGATCACTTGACATGTGCCGTTGTCGTACAGTTGTTGAATAAGGTTGATGAATATTTGGGGTACTCCGTAGTACTCGAATAGTTTCCAAATTACTTCGCGGTCAACGCTGTCTATCGAAGGCCTTCTGAAAGTCTGTAAAGTTTAGGTAGAATTTTGATTGCCAGCCATTCCATGCTTTGTTGGATGATGATGCGTAGAGTTGCAATTTGGTCAGAACATGATTTGCCTTTCCTGAATCCAGCTTGTTCTGGTCGGAGTTCTGTATCCAGTGCGTCCTTGATTCTCTCCAGGATGATGCGACTCAGGATTTTACTTGGCGTCGACAGGAGCATGCATCCTCACCAGTTCTTGCAGAGTCCTAAGTCGCCTTTCTTTGTTAGTTTCACCAGGTAACCTTTCATCTAGTCAGTAGGCACCTTTCCCTCCTTTCAGACCTTTTGCAATAATGGAGTCAGCATATCTGCTGTCGTCTTTGGGTCCGCTTTCAGTGCTTCCGGGGGTATTCCATCTGGTCCAGCTGCTTTTCCAGCTTTCAGAAGCTTGATTGCATTCAAGACTTCAGCTTTCGTTGGAGGATTAGTGTCAACATGCAGTTGTGTGCGTGCTATTGTTGGTATTTCTGGACGGGTTTTAGGTGGTGGTCGGTTCAAGAGTCCTTTGAAGTGGTCCACCCATTGTTTAATCTGTCTTTCTTCCTTGGTAATTGGGTTCCCTTGGCTGTCTTTTATAGGTTTCACTTGTGTTGATCTCTTCCCGGATAGAGAATTGGTTATCTGATATAGTGTAAGTGAGTGTTGAATAGCATTTATTAACTTGTTCAACCGTTGCACAATAATAAATCCTACCCGATGACATCATTTTCGAGGTTTACTGAGCAAGCAGGTTACATCACACTCATGAAAGTGATCGTAGTGCTTTTTACCTGACATGTGAATCTGGCAGACTTGCTGAACAAAGCAGCTGATCTGTAATTCATTAAATGCCTTTCGAGTACTCAAATTTTATAACACTTGAAATTGCATCATTTTCTCTTTTTTCAGTAAAAATTAATATGAGATCCTTTCAATCTTTGGCTAAAGACTCTGCTTTCAATTTGAATGCCATTCTACTTATTCAAGATAAGAGTATCTAGATAGTATTACCGGCCTTCACAACATAGATCTGACATATTTTTTAGCTCACAACTCTCGACGTAGATTAGTGGTTTAACAGTGATTTTTTGACTGTAACGGCAGAACACAAGAGAATTCGGCAACTGAATTTTTTATTGGTAATTCGATACACACAGATATAGGCTGTTTAATGTTGTCCAATATCTTCTCTCAGTCTTCCGACTAAATAAAGTTCGGCTCACCTAATAGTCTGTACAGCGGAGCTGCTATCTCCTTGAAGGTTTTCGCAAACTGACTATTAAATACTGCTCTCCTCGAAAACTGTTGTTGTTTCCTTTTCGAGTTCATGGATTCGGTGGCCTTTATCGTCAAGATTTTCTCATGCAGAGGTTTTATCTCACTGCTTCCTACTTTATGTTTTAACAGTGTAACATTCCTCTGGGTTATCTGAGATTTGTCTTGTTTATACGTAGTTCGAACTAGTCAATGCGTCTTAAAATCGCTTCTACATGTTTCAAATGGTCACTTTCAGTTTGACTGTGTATGAGAAGATCGTTATTATTATGCACCTCCACGTCCTACAGGTTTTATTTCTACCCCTCGACAAGTGTTGTGTTATATCTTTTCCCTTGTTTTATCGGCATTTGCCAGCACCCTGACGGCAGGTCGAGAACCGTAACCAGATATGCACGTTGTAGGTTATCCAGAGTTTCTGCTGTAGATGGCATGGTACAAGGTCTTAGTTCCGTTATTCTGTTTGGCTTTCGGAAATCAACACAGAATCTGCACTTCTCAGTCCAGTGAAAAGATCGCAGAGCTATACGAGCTGTCAAATTCTTCAATAAAATCATTCTTTGACATCTCCTTCACTTGTCGGTCAACTTCTTCTAAATGAAATGGGACTCTTTGCTTTGTGAATGATGTCATTTTCCGACCAGTCACTGGGATTTTAAGCCTCATTTTATCACAATAATCTTAAAGATCTCCAGTGGACAGATGATCCTGTTCTCTAACCAATATTTTTATATTTGGCATTTTTGACGGCTCCATCGCTGCTATCTCCCTGTTCCCGTAAATGTTGATGGATCCATGCCTTGTAATTACTGCCCTTTTCTTCATGTTAATTACCGCACCAACCTCTCGCAGAAAATCAGCCCCAAGTATTGTCCACCGTAACTCGGACACAACAATGAATGGCAAAGTTACTTTGAAATCCCTAATGTGAACGCTACAGTTTGACATTCCTCCTACCGTTTGAATTGTCAATGAACACGATCTAACGCTCTTTTCTGTTAGCCAGACTACCGCCGCTGTATCTACTAAGCGTACTACTTCTTGGCCACCTATTCTCATGACTCACCTCTCAATAGCCCCTACTACTTTTAGTCTTATAGGAAAGAACGAACGCACATAATACTGTATAAAATGTTTCCTATTCCCTCTTTCTAGGCAGTATTTCCTTCAGTATACTAGTTTGCCACACGCGAAGCATTGGTCTCTTCTGGAACTCATTCGTGTTGCCGCTACTTCCCACTGCAAATCTTCGATTTTCTGTTCTCATTGCGGCTATATCCATGGTTGGTAGTTGTCTTGTTACCTTCGCTAGTTCATCAATGTCTATAGTTTATGCAGCGTGCAAAGAAGTAGGCTTGTCAACTTCCAAGTCAATAATAGCGGATCTCTGTCTGGCCTCAGCGTCATAGAACGGAACTGCTCCAATGGCTAATCACTTCCTTTCAATCTTTTCTTTAATTTCTAAGCTTGTATCAATCAGAAACATGTGTCTGTCAATCACTGTGCTCTTAGAAGGCCATCAAGGTTGCTTTCATTTCATTCACATGACTTTCTGTTACAGAACGTGTTGTACTAGACAGTCACACTTGACTCACTGTTGATGCACCTATTTTTAGGCAAAAACTTATAAGTTTGTGTTAGTAAATACTGATTCTATTGTAGTGGTTAAGTTTTCTGATATCTTTCGCCATCTTCCTGATTGTAACCGAAATATTATCGGTCTTTATGCCCTTATTCGCGTTCAGTCGGCTCCTTTGACTGTTGGTAGATATACTTAAAACTTTATATTGAAGCTTGTGTTGATAATGTTGTCTGGGTGAACAAGGAAAGCCTCGTAGTTAAATCACTCAGCTCAAAGAGTGAAACCACTTCAGAATCACCCATTTAAGCTACAAATCTCCATTACCAATGTATATCAAATGTCAAGTAATGTTTACAATGGGACGGAATGAATGCAGATTAACTCTTAGAATATTTGTTGTCCAGAATTTTGTTTGCTTCAATGCGTCGATTCTCATTAGCCGACTGACTATCTGTCAATCAGAGTAGATTGATTATTCACTTGATATTATTTTGTTGTTGATAACAGTTTGATCATTTATGTTCTTGTGTAAGTCACATTGAGATTTGTTAGTACCCACTTCTTTAATCATAAATGGAACAGTGTTCATTGACTATCCTAAATAATATAAACATTCACTCGTTTACTTTTATTATTCAGTTGTTGGTTTGCAGGGATTTGATTGATTTTAGGACTTAATCGTGAACTGACATCGGTTAGAGGACCATTGAAAAACCATCTGGGAGTACTGAACAGCTGTTTCGTCAGCCTAGTTTGGGACTCTTCAGGAATACGCACCCAATGAGGTTCAAACCCAGAACTTTATAGTTACAAGGCGAGCTAGCTCGTAGACCATTAAGCCACTGGGACCCTATCCAATGACCAGCCCATGAATTTCAACATCTGCCAATTCACTGCATAGCGTGACTGTCACTAGCGAATGTCATCGCTGGCGAGTATCGGTCCTCACAGCCGACCGGCTATTCCCCACTCGTCACGACTTCCCACCAGAATCCGGTTAACTACCTACTTGAATAGGGCCAGTAGTTGCTAGTGTGAGCGTCAGACTGATATTCAAGAGATTGGTTTCAAGATTTCATCGTGAACTTTTATTGTTTTTTTTTTGTTTTTTTCCTTATTCTTTGTATGGTTTCTACATTATCTTGACTTATCACGTTTGTTTCGTGTTTTTTCATTTCTGTATAGGGTTTGTCAGATATTACACCGAATAGTATTCACCATCAACAAACTATTTATGGGCAAAGTCATCTACGAATTAATCGATTGAATATTCCTGTGCAAACACCATATCGACTCAACAAAAATAATGATGTAAGAAAAAATAATGTTTCTACAGCTTTCTATGCATGTTGAATGTGTCATTTTTGTTGGAATTCCGCATTATTTTTTGTCATCTTTTTTTCATGGTTTTATGGTTCATATAATTACTGAAGATAAATTGGCGTCTTCCGACTGCTTGTGTGATATGATAAAATTTATTGCAGGATGCGCATCGTTACATCTGTCAAGGATGTTCTTTGCTTTTCATCCTCATTTCTCATGATCCAGCTCATCAATTACTTCCTCCAAAGGACCATTCTCTGATTTTACAGAACAAAAAATGTCAGTTAGAATTGGTTCTATTGCCATTACCACACCATCAGTTTGTCTGTATGATTCTGTATTAAATAAAAAGTAAACATTCAGTGTGCATTTCAACTGAAGTTCTCTTATAAAGGACTTAGGAACGTCGACATCAATGTTTCGTCTAATAAATTCTTCGCATACAAAGTCTACTGCCTCCATAAATGGTACATTGGGGAATCAGGAAGATACGTTAATTGATTTTATTGTAAACATTTAAATCTTTTATCCTTTCAACACATCCAAAGACGTCTTTCACTCTGTGTTTCACCAATTCAGTATGTAGAGGCCGTAAGTGTTTGACTAACCGTATGGCTATTATGTGTTTAACATATCTGGTACTGGTCAAAACGGTAAACCATTTCTGTGCACTTTTGGTGAACCATATAATCTTGGTGTGAGCGTCCAAGTGGGCTTTATTGATGTATACTGACTTAGTGAGATAAAGCCTTGTTGTTTCAACCTTTCAATGTTTCAGCTAACTATTTCAGCTACCTTTTTTAATCGGATCCAAAGAAGATGAGATATTTTGGAATTTTAGATTTTCATTCAGGATGGTATTCATCTTCTTGAAGTAACCCGTTTCATTCATTATAACCAGTCCTGAACCTTTATCAGGTTTTGTTACTACTACGTTATCGTTTTTTCCCGAGAATATCTAGGGCTTCCATATGTTTTTTGGTCAAAATATTATCTGAGTTACGCTTACTAATCATATAATTATGCTAACAATCGCCTGGAGTTGACTTAAGTCCTTCAACAGCTTCCGTTGATGAGGGTATTAGCCCTTCGGTTTCAGTGCAGAGACTTTCAAACTGAACTTGTGCTTCCATTTTATTAATTCTAACATGACTGTCACAAAACTTGGGGCTAAGAGATAAAACTTACAGATCTACTTCATCAAGGACTACATCCGAGAAATTATACACGTAACAACTTAGGTTCAGAAAAAATCTTGTTTCAGGTGTCTTGTTGTCCAGAGTCTGAACAGCTTGGTGCGTCTCCTTTCTTTCCTTTTACTAGTAATTTCATCCACATAATCTAAATATTTCTTTTAGTATTTTGTGAGTTAATCCGCAGCATACGACCTTTCTGTCACATTCTTTGATAACTCAGTAATACATGTTTGAATTATATATATATATATATATATATATACCGAAGGGTTAATACCTTCATTAACTGAAGTTGTTGAAAGACTTAAGACAACTTTGATCGATTGTTGTTCTAGTAATTTAACTGACTCCGATGTTTTTGCTCATCTTTTTTAATAATTGAATATCTGTAAGACAATCTGATATACCATTCAGCCACTGGGACCCGATTCATTGTCCATCGCATGAATTTTAACTTCTATCAATTCGTGATTTTAGACTGACAACCAATCAGTGTAGTCGGCGGGAACTCCATCCCCATATTTGACTGGATAGACCTCACTGGTCACGACTTCTCACTAGAACTCGAGGCAGCTACGTCCTGCAGCTAATCACTAGCGAGCATCCCAGCAAACTAATTGTTGATTACTATTATTATTAATCATTTCTCGCGTTTTGACTGAAACCTCATTATTGCACTCGATTGTCTGCCAACATACATTTTCATCTTGTTCCACAACTGCCTACAAGCTTTCATTGCCTCTTCATCTTATGGTTACTCTTGTACTCCCCCAAACTGTCACTTCATCCACTAGGGTTCCACTAGATCATATCTTTACTCTCTGACAGATCCTAGAACATAGGCACACTTAGGCGTCCAACAATTGCCATATTTCTTGACTTGAAGGCGGCCTTCGACTCCGTGGATCGAGAGGTACTATGGCAATGTTTGACTATGAAGGGAGTGCCAAGAAAGTACATTGCACTAATCAAGGCACTCTACTCAAACTCACGTAGCTGTGTAAGGGCTTATGGGGAATTGTCATCTGAATTGATAACAACCAGTGGTGTCCGTCAAGGATGTCCACTTTCCCCTTTTCTGTTTAACTTCATGATAGATATGCTAATGGAAGTATCCTTAACTGAACTTAACGACTTAGGAATCGACTCGCTACCAGAGAATAGTCTTATAGACTTAGAATACGCAGACGACATAGTCCTGTTAGGCGAGGACGCTGACAAAATGCAGAGTCTTCTGAACACCTTGAGCAGCAATCTTCGTATGTTTGGCATGCGATTCGCCCCTGTGAAATGCAAGATGCTGCTACAGGACTGGACTACGTCAACTCCTAGCTTAGTGATAGGGAGTGAAGTGATAGAACATGTTGACCACTTCACCTATTTAGGAAGTTGTATCAGCACCAACGGATTGATTGGTGACGAAATCACAGCACGGATCCAGAAAGCTCGGGCTGCTTTCGCTAACTTACACCGTCTCTGGCGTAGGCGTGACATCCGGCTGTCAACCAAGGGACGTGTATACTGCTCAGCAGTTCGCTCCGTCCTTCTCTATGGCGGTGAGAGGTGGCTATTGAGAGCGGAAGACATGAAGAGATTGTCTGTTTTTGACCACAGATGTTTACGATCTCTTTCTCACGTTAGGTGGTATAATAAGGTAAGTAATGTTGACGTTAGGCGTAGAGTGTTGGGCAGAGAGGGAAAATCACTCGAAGAGGCTATGAAGTTACATAGATTGAGATGGTTAGGCCACGTGCTGCGCATGCCTAACCATCGCCTCCCTCTCCCGACGGGCATTGCTAGCTGATACAGGTGCAGGTTAGAAAAGAGTAAGTGGTGGCCAAACAAAAACATGACCTCATCAATCCATGAAATCCCTGACAGTTAAACTGAGTAAGGTAGGGAGATGCAGACTTCCGGGTTGGGGCCCGCCCTCGGGACTCTAAGAATCAATGGCTGGAGACAATAGGTGACATGGCTAAAAATCGTTGTCAATGGTGCAGATGTATTCAGTCTCTTTAACCTTCATATTCCTTTCTACCATTACTCATTCTGTTTCACTCTTATTCTTATCTAAATTCTATTGATTCTCTTCTCTCATTTTCCTATCTACCTTTGTGTGCTATTTGGAACGTGGCAACTGGAACTGCTGCACTTCGGTGCCAAGTTCTATGTTGAATCCAGCAGCAGCAGGGTTCCACTTGAAGTTGTGATGTGTGATATCACTTGAATGTTTCCACAGTGTATGTTACTTAGTCCGTTTCCATTTCCTTCTGCATATACGTGGACGATATATTCTCAGCTGATGCAGTATTATATCAGAGTTCCATACTGCTTATCCTTTTCGGTCATGGGTCGTTCAGTATTAAACGAAGGTTTGAATAACTTTCTTATTCTTTTGCTATTGAGAATCCTACATAGGCTTTTGAATGTTTTCATCCTATAGATTAACGCTGTCGATGTCTTACATTTCCTCTTATTTCTATTGTAATAATCTCTACTTTCATTACCTATGTCTTCTTTCCCCTATGAGTTTATACAGACCCTTTAATAGATTCTAGGGAATATTTATTGTGGTAACTATGTTTCTTGACCAGCTAGCTGGCTTAAACGGAGTCTGTCTTTACTGATATGATATAAAGTGACATGTATGATCTAAAGTATAAGTATCTGTTAGGATGTGATGGCTCTTCCATCATAAACACTAGCCTTCTCCCCTTCCTTCTTCTCTTTATTTTATTTTCCATTTTAACACAGTAAATTTATCTTGTTTTATTTCCTGACTTGAAAGGCATTTCTATCTCATATGCGCTACAGAGCTGACACGTGTGTTGAAATTAAAAGGCTATCGCGTCTGTCTTTTCAACACAAGATGAAAGTGTCATCCAGATAACTTAAAATCATGAAATAATGGAGAAGATTTGTAGCTCAGTTGGATGACTCTGAATTGGTGGTGTTCTCTTAGCTGGTTGATTTAATTGCAGACAGGCTTCCTTCAGCTCAGGTTTTAGTATAAAATCAACTTACTCGAATTCTCAATGAGTGAAGGTATAATTGCATCTACTGGAAAACATTGTCCTCACTGGTTGTTCATCTACATCTGTATTGATCAATTTTATTGACTTGGAGTTCGAACTTGCTTGTCATGTGATGATTTACTTTTTATTAGCAGCTGGTAAATTCGGTCTATATTAATGTGTTTGTTAATCGCTGGCTAACTCTTTTGAGTAGCAGGGTTCCACAAACTCCCTCACTGTATTTCTGGTGTTTCCTCTACCTACATTATCCCAATCAAATTGGTGTCCATAATTATCTGCTTGCATTGATATGAAAGAATATATATCATGTGTTTCTACAGCTGATTTGTATTCTTGGATTCTGATTCGAAGAGGGGGAACACCCACTTTGACAGATGTAGTCTTTATAAAAGTTATTGTGTAAATGGTATGAATTTCATCTTTTTCTGGTGGATCTTTTGGTTTGCACAATATCGATTGAAGTGATGATTGTGCTGTCTGGCTTGTGTGCTGTATCCATTTCAAACTGTCTAAGTATTCTAGCTGTTATTTCAGAGATATTTTTCATATATGGTAGGATGAATTTTCATGTAATCTTTGATGATGGTTTCTTGTTGTTGGTGTTATGACTCGAGTTTAAACACTTTTTGATGAAATTGTGAGGATATGCATTCTTTTTGAAGATGGTTGGTAGGTATTTTTCCTCCATTCTCTTCAACACTGGAGTGCTGTAGCGCTGTCTTTGAACTCTTAAAACGATGTCTGCACACAGTTTCTTTTGTGGGTAATTGGGTTATTACTACTGCTGTAGTCGAGTATTCAATATACTTGTGTTTCTAAATTTCATGTGTTCTCTTGATTAAGAGGTGCAAAAATGGAATTTTGTTGTCAAATTCTTCTTCTCTTGTGAATTCATTGTCTTCATATATGTCGTTTTTTAATTTGTGGATGTATTACGAATTATTTTGTTTTTAATTATTACGAATGTATCATCAACGTAAAGCACCCAGACTTTTGGTTTAATTATAGTTAGAGCTATTAATTCTAATCTTTGCTTGACGGCTTCAGCTATTAATCCTGATATGGGCGATCCTATTGGTGTTCCTTTAATTTACCTGTTCGTGTATTTGATTATTGAGATGGAAGTATGTTGTAAGACATAACTCTACGAGTTCCATCAAAGTTGACCATTTCATTTTTGTGTTCTCATCGGTGTAGGGTAGTTGTTGCATAGTTTCTTTTGGTAGTTTCGGAGCAATTAAAGTTTATAATGCCGTGAAATCAATGGAAATCATTATTTCACTATCATCTACTTGAATGGTGTTGATTTTACTCTAAATACTGAATTGACAAATTGATAGAATGGTCGCATGATTCTCTTTCCTCTATTTAAAATTTCTACATTATCCTAATCAAATTGGTGTCTTCTGTTGTTTGGTCAGTGGGTCTTTTGATCTGCCCAGTGTAGTGTGCAATCAAGTTGACTGTGTTTCTTTGTATGCTATATTTATTCCTGATGGTTTTAGTATTCTAGCTGTTATTTCAGAAGCAACTTCTTTTTGGTTTCTGAATGTCGTCTTTTTGCTGGTAGTTTAATCCGCGTTTAGACTTCTTCTTGTGAAATGGTGGTTGTCTATGCCTTTGTCTTGAAGAAAACTATTCATGACGACAGATCCTCTACAACTGAAGGATAACCCATTGCCACCGTTTCTCTATTTGTTTATATATATATATATATATATATATATATATATAGTGCTGAAAATCGGAGATTCTGGGGGGAGGGTTAATACCTGATTGTGCCTTTGAAATGATTTCATCAGTAGACAGCCGTGTGTGTGTGTGTGTGTCCGCCACATAAAATTGTTTGACTATTTAACTTGACGTTGTATTATAAAAAGCTCTCTACTGACATGTAATGTGTATAACTGTAGAATCTGAAGACATTGGCATTTATCGTAAAGCATATCCTATTCTTTAATTCTAAAGTGTAAAGTTTATTTTTATAATCAGCATGTAAAGTAACCGGCACACAAAAAAGGCGGAGTTAAGGAAGGCAGGCTATTAAATGATTACTCATTAGCACATATAGGCAACAGGAAATGTCAATTGAAACAGAAGTGGATAGCGTGTTAGATGTATGCAGTAATAGCAGTCTAGTATAGTTAACTCCCATCCATTATGTGAATAAATAAAACCGGTTATTGCCTAAAGATTGATATAATGAAGATAGACATAGGCAAAATAAATTCCATCACCTCGAATGAGATGATTTCTTTAAAAGGTCACATGTAAAGGAAAAATCTATATTGAAAATCAAATGAAGAGTGATCAAATAACTGAACCTCTCAAAATCAAAGATTTTATATTGATTGGTAAAAATTACACATCAAAAGGAGACAGACTTGATATTATGTCTTGGCTATCAGTGGTGGACTTCAGAATGCACATTTCATCATTTAGGTTCGAGTCTCAGAGGAAACATCAGTAGTTAATAGGGATGTAGGGACCTCCAGTCTCCAAGTCATACATAAACCTGACCTCCACACCGGTAGTCACCATCAATTGTGGGAAACATCTTGTGTTAACCTTCAGATGTCGTTGGAGGTATTCTTGCTAGAAACTGACTTGTCAACAGAGACCGGGCATTTCAATTCACAGTATAAATCAATCCACGGGAAATACAAAATAACTTAAACAAATATGCGTTTGTTGGGTTGTCTTTCAAGCACAAATCAATCATTTAATCTTAAATGAAATGCAAGTCACAAATTCATGAGGGCTATAGGTATTCAGCCCTATTAGTATTATGATAGTTTTTCATATAACCAGTTCCTTTTATTAGTTTGACTGAAGGAAGAACGGACTTGTTTGCTGCATAATACGAGCTCGTTTTATTTCGTCGATTCACTCCAACTGCGCACATCCATCCTAAATAAATCAATTATAAGCTAAAAAATTGTATCTGAATATACCTTTCAAAGATGATGTAAGTAGACAATTATTCTGTGTTAGAAGAGTAACTATCTGTAATATAGTAAATAGAAAAAGGAGTGGAGTTCTTATTTCGCTTGGAAACACGGACAGAATAAACACAAAATACAAGATAGAACAACATAGTTAATTCCTACATATTATGTTGGGGAAGATTTCAGGAGGGTGGGGTTGAATAGTGAATTAAAATTATGAAATAGATGAAATTATTTAATTTAATAGATTCGGAACCTTGATAGTGAGTTCTACTCAGTGAGTGAAAATCAAAATGAGCATTGAGTGGAATGTTACGCAACAGAACAAAATACGAAAGCACACGAACGGAACAATTCAATTATGGTGACGAGGGTAGTGAGACATTAGTCCTACTCTGTGTGTGTATGCGTAGGTTAAGCGGAAGTCTTTTGATGGCGACAGCTTCTGCGAAGCGAAATAAGAATGCTTTTCTTTGTGTATTGATTATTTTGAAAGCCTGATTAATTTCGACACTATGTCCCGTGTCAATTAGGTGCCTGACAATTGCACTTCAGAACACTTTGCTAACTTTCTTAGAGGGTGACCTTTAGAGTTGCGCTCCGAGAATCTAGTAGATGCTCTCCTCTTAGTCCACAAGTGCATGCGGAGCAGGATAGTTATCTACTTTTGACTGAGTAAACAAGCATGCTGTGTTGTAAAGTGGAATGAATCTATCGGCGGTACATATTCTTTTCAATACACCTTCAATTCTGTTTTGCGTTGTTATGTATGATTCTTCGCCTTGTACGCAAGACGTATGAAAATATAGTATGATAGTAGTAGAGAATAGAATTGATGTATAATAAACTTCACATATTTATAGACATTTTAACGTTTTTTTTTCACTGACATCTATTTCTGGTTTCTCTGCTAGAATCTAATGAGTGAAAAAGTGAATAACAGAAAATATCGAAAGACGAAGAGACGAGTACGCAAGATGAAACATCACCCAAAGAAAGAACAAGCAGGAGAAGAAAAGCAGGAATTGGAGGAGCCCGAGTTTACAGAATCTGATCTATCTAATTTAGTTCAATTTCGACTTGACTATCCAAGACGTGTATGTTTTGTAAACACAAATGATAACATTCCTGATGGCAGGCATCATAATCTTCATCAGAATATCAGTGACATGAATGATATACTATCTCCTATAGACCTGAATTCTCACCCGTCGCCTCTAATCCTTGATGGTGATCAAAATCGTCTATCGTGTAGACAGATTAAGAGGCCGTAAGTTTTCTTTTTTTCACTAACGTATGCATGATAACGCCTGAAGTATTTATTGTCAACTTGTTGTAACAGGACTTCGTCACAAACCTCATTGTCATTCAGCCGCTAGATAGAGAGGTTCACTGGCCCATTATTTTACATTCTCACTTGATTGAGCCTACTAACCTTGGATTTACAATGGATCCTTAACTGTTGTCAAGAGACATATCAAAATAAACCTCAGATTGGCGACTTATCCTATGGAGTGGACACCATTCTGTTGTCTCGAGGCGATCTATCAGCGGCTTCCTCAGCGTATGCCTAATGCATCTCCATTTTCTTCTGCATATTTGTTGACAAATGGGTTCTTGGTTAGTATGCTGCCGGAATTACTTGTTGGTAATTCTTTTTGGCAATTTGATCTTCAGTATGGAGCCAGCGAAGGTGGCGCATGTTGATAAAAATCTGCAGTGGACTTTTGGAGATTTTCAGGAATGGCCTGTATAGATGAGTTAGCAACAAAACATATAGAAAGCCACATGTCAGAAAAAAGATGAATAAATTGTAATACTCAGTGGAGCATTCTTCCGTAACATTGTAAAAACACTAGGAGGTGAATAGACTTCAGGAATGATTATCATTAAGACTGTAAACACTTGAAAGCAGGAAGAATACTGTTCACATAACAGTAAGCGATTCAAAATATGTATATAAATGTATTTTGTAGTTATGAGTTTGAGACACCGAGGAATTTGGTGAATATGGGTGGATTGTACACACACCCAGTCACTGTACTCGTCAAGAACCGTTCAAGTCCATGGTATTAAAAGGGATTAGACAAACTGCTCTTTGTATAATACACAATTCAGCGTTTTCCTTGTGAGAACAGATGATGTAGTCGGAATTACACATCCTACTACTGTGTCAAACTTCTTCTGCATTCATTATTCTGCTTTTCTTGTCTTCACCTTCAAGTTTAACTGTTATCTGTGTACAAGCTGAAGTATATAACTCCTCGAAATGGCCAATTATTGTACAGTTGGATATGAATAGAAAAGTGGATAATAAGTGAGTGTGTTGGTCAATTTTTTATTAACTTCTTACGTGCTATTATTTTATTTTAAGTAATTCAACTTTGTGTTGATGCATGCGTTTGTATATTTCTAGTGGAAGAAAGGAAGAAATATTTTCCTCATAATGATCTACTTTAATTATAAAGTGGACGCTATGATTCCAAAAACGAATAAAAAATAGACACACGAAGAACTCGAACGCCCCTTCAAAATGACCAAGAGGCAAACCTAGGTCCTCTGCTCAACCCCTCACCTGAGTCAATCTAACCCTCATCTTTCCCTAACCCCTGACCGACGCTAAACAAACCAGGTATCCTGTTTAATATTCCTTAGACTTCGTTCATGTCACTAAGATCACATTAAGTATGGTCGAAAACGTATTCCGAAAACATGGACCCCAACAGTTGTCATGCCATATATAGAGCGGAGACGTCAGACGATATCAGAAGAGTACTCAATAAGCTCGACATCAGAGTTTTCTTCAAAACATCAAACGCACACACTACAAAGCAACCTTGTCCATATAAAAGACCAAATCCCTAAAGATTCTCTATCTAATTGTGTCTATAAAATAAAATGCTCGGAGTGTGATGCGATTTACATAGGACAAACATCACGATAAATCAAAATCAGAATAAATGAACACCGTAGAGAATCTGTTCAACCACTGAGAAATCCAGTTAGTGAACTAGAAAAGCTTGAAAAGTCATCACCTGTAGGTGATCTACACGCTATAGAATCAGGCCACAAAATTGATTTTGAAATATTGAAATAATCCAGAAAAAGCATTTTAGAAGTCACAAAGTACGTCTAATACCATCAGAAGCACTTCATATCAAATGGAATTCAAATTGTCTGAATAGGAATAATGGACTGAAACAGAATTTTTCACCTGGTTACAACATCCCCCTGTCCCATGAAATGGAAAAAATCAACACGAATGTGATAAGAAATTTCATTATGTAAACACACGCTGTTTTTATCACTTTACATACTTTTCAAATCCAACAATATACAGCTGGTTTTGTTATCTTTACTAATTGGCCAACTTGACGACGTAAACAGAATTACCCCATACTGATGAGGGATGATTAAGTTGTTAACCATAAGCTGAGTGGGTTTTGTAAATTCTGGTTTAATATATTATTGTTTTGATAAAGCTATTAGCAGCAGCGTTAAATACCGAAACGTCAGTAAAAGCAACCGTATCGTTTCGCTTTTCATTCATTGGGAAATACAAAAAAACCTTTATTATAATGAATATCATATATCCAATGGTCAAATTTTTTCAAACTGTTAAAAGTGAACTTGGATTGGACATATGTAAGATCTACTATGTATAATGGATAATCAGACGAATATTCTTAAAAAAGACAGTCGAAAATATTAGGTAGAAGGGAGAAAAAGAAGTTGAAATCAGTTCCTTTTTAAAGAATATTGGTGTAATTAATTATCCTATAAGTAGTCGATCCTGATAACTCTTAATTACTTGACAAATTACACCATTCTGAACTTAGATTATACTGGTGGTGGTTTCTGTCAATTTAGTCTTCGTCATTGTGAAAAAGAAAGTATGTTCAAGCCTTTTATGTAATTTGTACTTTTGTATTGTTGAAATTGTAGTCATTTTGGAGGAGAAACCGGCCGGCTAAATAATGAAGGGAAAATAGAACTTATAGAGTATCCTGATACATTTGTCGTTCCTGCTGTCTTTTCTTTCTCAAGAATTGTCTTCACCTTATTCTTCTTCTCTGAACTGAAGTCTTTGAATGATAAAAGATAATGGAGATAACTTTTGATGAACTATTTTACTTCTCCGTTGAGTTCTGACTGTGTGTGTGGGGGTGGGTGGTGATGTTACGTTTTATCTCACAGAGTATGGGACTGTTAGCCTCACGTCCAACTTTCCCTCCTTTCCGAACAATTTACGACTGATTAGTACACTGGGTGGCAGGTGAGTTGATGAGTAAAGGAAGCCGGATCTCAGGAGTGAATCGTGAGCATTACATCACTGAAGCATTGAATTAGGTCTGTAGAAGAGGAAGATAATTGTTTATCTTTCCTAGAAGGTTTGCTTAGTCGATGGTCTGATGGATCAATAAAATGATCTACTTAGAGAAATCCTACCTAAACAGGACAGTAGCTTAATTATCACAGTTTCTGCCCTGTTCGGTACAAAAGAGTCTTAGTAAGGTGTCTCTTCAGTAGAATCTAACGAATATGCACTGAAGAAGAAAGTTGACATAAACTCTGGTTGATAATAATTATCCAGACAAGTTCATTAGGAGATATAGAGTAGTCAAAACACCAAGACCCACTCTTCAACGCGCCACTAAGAAAGACGTATATGTGAATCTACCATACATAGGTGATTATAGCAGCTTGGTAACTCGACAACAGTTGAACGATGAGGTTAGAAGGACTTTTTATGCAGCTAAGGTCATAATAATCGAGAATGTGAAGCCCATATTTCCATCTAAGCCCTTAGAACATGTGAAAAATGATTTCATATCCCAATGTATTTGACAATTTGAATGTATCTGTGGCCGCTCATACATATGGAGGACTCATCGACCGATCTCTAGAAGTAAGAGCATATTCCTAAATAGCTCCAGAAGCAGATTGAATCCACAGAACCCATTAGTGGTGAGAACAGGAGACCTAGCTCCTCTATTGCGAAAGATATTATAGAGACAGGACATAAAATTGATGTTTACACGTCTTTTAAACCTATCTGTAAAAAGTGTTTGGCGCGTATCCTAAAGTTTGTTAGCCCTAACTATTAGGAAGTTTAAACCACCTTCCTGTGTTCAAAGCAACAATTCGTCATTATACTAACCCTTCTTTGGTAAACTTTGTTTTGATTACTGACCTGGGTAGATGTACTATTTACTAGCTCTCCTCTTTGGTATAGTGATCTTCATGGTTATTTTGACCTACAATATGTCCTTTTAACTTGACTTAAATTTATTTTCTCACCGCTTAGCTCTTTATTATTTCCTATGACAAGTTCGTATGCGATCAGATTGTTCGAAATGTGTTGCGCTCATATACACATCACACGATTGAGATAATTTATGTTTTTTCTTATTGCTTTGTCTAAATTTATATAAAGGGAACTAATTGTTTTAAAGTTTTAAACTTAGTTGAATAGCTTTTAAATCTGCACATACTCAAAGACATGTCAGTGGAATCGTAAAATCTGAAGTTTATGAAACTGTCTCTCATAATGACTAGAACCCCGGTGGGTGGGTACTGCTGAAGCAGAGTCCCAAACTAGGATGAAACAACTGTCCAGTACTCCCAGGTTTTCTAATGGTTCTCTAACCGATGTCAGCTGATGATGAAATGCTGTAAACAAACATCAGTTATTGGATATCGGAAAAATAAATTGATTCTAGTCCTTTCTTCTCTGCCTTATAAATTCCAATTATTTTTTTAAAATTTCATTAGGTGTGAATCAGTGTCCACGAGGTCTCAATTGCCTACATCGTCATCGCTACAGCATCAACAAATTAATCCTTTTAGGGTATATTCTTCTTCGTGTTCACCTCCACATATGGCTACAGATATTCGTGAAAAATCCTCAGTCTCATCACTTATATGGATTGGTTTAACTAAACATGAATTCCATCTTCAACCATATGAAACGAAGTTGTTAACACTAAAGGCATTAGCACCACATCCTGGAGTTTACAATGCATGCACATTTACTGTGAAAGCAGCAGCCCTTTCGCCGCTAACCTGTGATTCTCATTCCACTAGAAACGAGAAAAAACAACAACATTTATTTATTCCACAGAATATTTTTCCATTGACTTCTAGTAAAAATCATGATATGTTGTACTTGATCATTGTAGAATAATCTCCGTTATGTGTATGTGCGTGTGTGTGTTTGTATGCACATTTTGTCTTCCCCCCCCCTCTTATTTGATTGTGGAGGTGTTTAACAATTCATTACCTATTCTGTAATAATCAAAATGTTGTTGAATAATGAATTTTTTGTCCCTTTTTTCTTCTTACTATTATTATTGCCTTTGTTTTATTTCATCATTACTTTGTAACCATGGTTGCAACTTTTGTTTGTTTGTTCAATTTTGGTTTTTAAAACAAAGTGTATCATTCATACCCGTTGTTAGTAGTAGCAGTAGTAGGAGTATGTCTCTTGGTGCAGATAGCTTTTATACAGTGAAAAATATTTGTAAGTTGAATGAATGAGTTTAATTTTCTTTCTGTTTTCAAAGAATTATAAACTGTTAATCAGTCCCACAAATTGATTCCTACACACACACACACACACACACACACACTTACATAGTGCACCATTGAGTTCGCGAATATTTCCTGGCACACGCTATGTATACATTATCCTATCCATTGAATATACGCATCTTTCCTTTTCTTTTTTACTTTTTCATTGATATAAAAACAATATTTCGTCTTCCTTGCTTCAAAACAAATTTCAGACATTTTATTCTCATGTCACATTTGGGCTCTGTTACATAACTTATGGGCGGAAGGGAGAGAGTGAAGCGGAAATTGTAACAAGCTGGTGACTGGATGTGTATAGACTTTAATCTCTTCAGGGTTTTTCTTTCTCACATACTGTTGAATGTGCAATCTCTATTTCACAGTCTAATTGTTTCTTCTCTCTTTTAGTTTTATGCTTAGAGGTTGTTAATTTTTGACTTCATTTTTACCTTATTTGTACGTGTGCGTGTGTTTTCATACATCATCCATTCGCCCTAATGTCTGTCTCTCCTGTCTAACTCTCCTTTTTCCTCACTTAATCTTGTGTCTGGTTTTGTGTTATGTGTTTCCGTGTGCATAACTCTGATTCTGCAGCACTTTGTTTTACCGCCCCAGTGTTTTCTGGTGTGACGATTGCCATGGAATGGGATTTTCTATTGCGAAACCTGAATTAGAGAAAAGTTTTGTCCTTATGAGAATTCCCCTTCTCTGTGTGTGTGTATGCTTTGATTTTCCGGCTGAAATATGAAAGGAAACATTAAGGACAAAAAAATAATAACAATAATAAATATTTTAATAACACATGTCTTTTTGGTGATTATGTAATCACATCTGTAAAGATGGAAATTGAGAAGTCGTGTGTATGTACACATGTTTGTGAAAGCTTTCAAAACATGCTGGTGTCTGGATAAATATTACTATTTGTTAGAACTGGACACTATGAACGAATATGAACTTAATGCGCTGGCTAGTCTATCCTCATCTCAATTCAACAACAACAGTAACATCGCCGTCACTCAAAGACAAAAGGAAAGAGTGGACTGTCTCAAACAACAGTCAAAATGTTTTATAGGAGCTCTGCACATATACAGTTAGAATGATCTTGAAAATGCAGTGATGCATTAAAAGTATTAATAGCCAATGGGAATCCAGCAATCTAAACAAGGAAAAACAAAGGGCTCACGCCAGTACGCGATAACTACTTAACATAGTCATTTGAAGGTTCAAGACAAAACTTAGGGTATATAAGACTGTATTATCAACATTAGTCAGTGAGATAAAATAAGACATAGAATAGAAGTCACTCACCACCAATGCCTAATTATAATTAGTATTCATTGCTTTTTAAGCAAGTGTAGTCATGATCCAGAGTGCCATTGAATAGCTGTTTCGTCTTAATGCGAGTCTCCTCGATAGTGCTAGTGTCTGTGATAACATTATATTCACCCCCGATATAATTCCTAATGGGAATTGGTGACTACGAAATATTATTGTAACATGACTAAAGTTACTGTTAAATTCCTTTTGTTGTGATTTCGTAATCACTATATGTTCTGTGTCGTTTCGTAAGTTTCTCAGAGCCAATATCTGTTATTTTTCATATTAATTTGCTCAGTAGGTATGTATCACACAGTTTGTAAAACAGTATTATTTACGCGATGACGAAGTTTCACACACAACTTATTGTTCATAATCATCATACCATCAATTGTAACTACACAGCTTCGGAACTTTCGTTTTATAGTTGTCTTTATTCCTTCCTATTCGTTGTAAGGGTAGTAGAATTCTGCAGATGTCCGACTGGACAAATGTTGAATCATTCATAATACACGTATTTGCAGTTGATTTGATAAACAAAGCTTCCGTTATCAGTTTCTTCCTCCATCCTGTGACATTAGATTCTAAAACTTTCATCTTATCCCATCCTATTGTATAGTTGTGTGTAACTGCACGTATAGGTATAGCTGAACTATTCTCCAGATTTCTTATCTTATTCGGGTCAATCAATCTAGATTTTGCCAGGTTTTTATGTTCGGCTAGTCTGACTGCCCCTGTTCTACTAGTTTGACCTATGTATTTGACCTGACAATCATTGCAGGGTATTAGATATACTAAATTGTTTTGTTTCAAAGGCTCCACAGGATTCATTAACCGACAAAGCTTGTTTCTAGTTGAGTTTGTGGGTTTGAATGCCAGCTACTTCTATTCCTACCAGCATTGTTAAGAATTCTGAGGTTCCTTCATTGAATGGAAGTACTACTGGTGGCGATTTAAATTCCTTATTGTTGGTGTTGTCTGGCGCATATTTGACATGCATGTCGTCATTAATATTACTATTGTTATTACTGTCACTGTCCCAACCATTATTATTAATTTAGTTTTACAGTTTCCTACATACTTCCTGATTAACTTATCAGGGTAATTATTAATTAAGTTTCAAAGCTTCCCTTATATGTCTCACGCCCTGTGTTAGATTTTCCGTGATACTACTTAGCTTTTGTGCTCTTTCACTTAAACATTTCCCCATTCGTATTTTTACTGACATAGGATGGGATGATCGGAAGTCCAAATATCTGTTTGAATGTGTGGGTTTCCTGTAAACACTAGTTCCCACGAAATATTAGAACCATCAGCTTACCTACCCTGACACTAACTCGTCTCAAAACAATTGCACATGTCCATCAAGAGACCTGCTGAAGCTCTCTATGGTCATGACACCTCCACATGAACAAATCCTCTCTTTCCTAATCAGCTCCACATCTAAGCAATACTGGAAGAATTGATCCTCACCAAATTGCAAACGCAACCAAGCTAGAGCAGGCATTTGACTCGAATCAAAAGGAATAGAAGCTTCAACCCATGAATAAACGTCATTGGACCATTCAAGGTCAATGGTGCAGACGTACTCCATTGGTAGTTAATGGTGCTTAAAGTTTAACTTGGCTCCAGATTGCTTGTTCTAGGTAGGACCCAATTGGCTGTAGATTAAAATGACACCTACCACATTTAGTGTTTACATCCAATGACAGATCCTCCTGTCACTGTGTGCTATTGAACTGGTAACTTTCAGTCGTCCGATTGAATAATTCATTCATTTGGTCTCTCTAATTAATAAATAATTTATATATCTTTGTATAGACGCATCTGGCTCACTGAAATATCAACGATATCAGATGGTTGGGTTGGATGTAAAGAAGAATATGTAATGGTAATACTTATAAATATTAGTGAAGCGCACTCGATCTGTACGCCTAAATGGTGCACATATAAATGTTATTATTTTTAAATGTTGGGGTTCGCCAATACTCCGAACGTAAAACTAAAAGACCCACACAAAGTTTTAAGAACATGTATTATCAGAATAGGGAAAATTCAAAAATTTGCATTCACGCTATTGATTTTGTTAAGAAAAGTTGAGCCACTTTTAAATACAATCAACGATCTCAGTCTCGTGAGAATTTCACCTTTCTGAATGTTGACTATATCGAGAACTTGTAGGACTTACACAACTTATGAAATCCAAGAAACAGCACGAATGATTGCGTCAAAACAGTTGTGCCGTAAAAAATATATGTTGCCACGATATAGCCCCAGACTATTTATTAAACAAATAAGACAATAAGTGAAGCGTACATCAACTGACTTCAATGCTTACGCGTAAATACTATATTATTCTTCACTCTTCTTAATGTACAAAAAACATTGTGATTTACTGATACATAGAATATAGTTAAACAAACATAACAAATTTTCTGTTGTAGAATGAAATCTGTTGTTGTAAATCCAACCGTATTTCTTTCAGTACCACTGTTCGTTTTTATAACATAAAGCTAATATTGCATTAATAACTTTACCTAGTGAAAATGGTCGATTTGATGTACCACACAGTGAAACAGTATTATTTACTGGATGACGTTTCGAACAAAATTTATTGTTCATAATCATGCCATCAGTTATAATCACACGACTTTGAAACTTGAATTTTATAGTTTTCTTTTTCCTCTTTTATTTGTCGTCTTAGGGATAGTAGAATTTTCCAGATATATGGCTGGACAAGTGTTGAATCATCCCTAATACATTTATTGGTATTTCTGACAAAGAACTCGAACTTAGGACGAAAGTGCCACATGAGGACATAACGCTGGGAGTGCAGCTATGCCTAACTTCCACAGTATTTAAATTCCAAGGGAAAATATACAAACAAACTGAAGGAGTTGCCATGGGATCACCAATATCCCCGGTTGTCCAGATATATTCATGGATAGGTGGGAAAACATAGAGACTGAAATGTTCACCCCCACCCCAAAAGTATGGTGGAGGTATGTAGATGACACATTCACTGTACTTAGAACACAGGATATAGATAGATTTTTCGAACACATTAACTCAAAGGTGGAGGCAATTCAATTCACTTATGAATTGGAAAGTCAGGAAGGGGAGCTTCCAATGTTAGATTGCAACGTAAAAAGGAAAGAAGATGGGAAGTTAAACACTATTGTTTACAGGAAACTCATACATTCAAACATATATTTGGACTTCCGATCATCCCATCCTATGTCGGTAAAAATAGGATTGGTGAAATGTTTAATTGACAGAGCACAAAAACTAAGTAGT